CCTTTAAGCAAATCATTAAAATTCAAGGAAGGAATGATGGAATTTATAACCAGTTGGTCAGAAATGCAGGTGACAACTTGTACCTGTGATTAGCATCTCAAGTGAGGGGAGTCTTATGGGACTGAGCCCTTGGCTTATGGAATCAGATGCTGTCTTGGGGTAGACAGTAGGAACTGAATTGAATTGTAAGTACCCAGTTAGATGGTGTGAAGCATCACACACACACACACACACACACACACACACACACAAACTTATAATTGGACCCAGATTTTTAAGCAATTGTACATTCACAAGTACTAATTGGCCATTCATATAACTTCGTTTGTAGAATAACCCTTCAAATCTTTTGGTATTTGTAATTGGTTGTTTTATTTCCCCTTTATTACACTCTAGATATTGTTCATAAATTTTGAATACCAGCATTCTGTCAGATATATGTATTGCAAACATTTCCTTCTAAACTGTGACTTGCGTTTTCATCTTAAAATTAACAAAAGAGCAGAAATTTTTTTTAAAGATTTATTTATTTATGCATACAAGAACTGGTATAGGCCAGAGGTGTGTGTGTGGGGAGGGGGGTAGTAAGAGGATTCGCCAGAGACAGAATGGGGAGCAGAACAGGCAGATTGTCTGAAATACACTGCTGAGGGGAGCAGAGGGTGAGGCAGGAGAGGTCTGCTGTGCCATGTGGGTAAGCTCCCTGGCCGGGGATTGAACTGGTGCTGCGGTGGCTGCCGATAGCTTCATAGATTACGTTTTAACCCATTGTGCCACCAGGGAGGCCCAGGGGGTTCCTTTTATAACTGTGATGGGAGGCTTGGGATTCAGTGTGTACAACTGGGTAGTAGTTTGATGAGTATTCATCTTATACCTCAAGGATAGTTTCACAGTGCTGTGTTTAACCCCTTGGGCTACCAGGGAGGCCCAAGAGTGGAAATTTTTAACTTTAATGAAATCCAAATAATCATTTACTTCTTTTTTGACTTGTGCTGTTTATATCACATATATAAAAAAAAAAAAAACTTTGCTTAACCAAGGTCACAAATATTTTCTCCCATGTTTTACTCTAGAAGTATTAGCTTTTATGTTCAGTTCTAGGATTCATTTGGTGCTCAATTTTTATATGATACATGATCAGGTCAAGGCTCAACTTTTTCCAAACAGATATACCATAGTTAGAGCAGCATTTGTTGAATATACTATCCTTTCCTCATTTAATTATCTTAGCTTCTGAAATAATTGAATAAATACATTAATGTATACACATATATAGATTTCTAGATTTTTGGTCATGTTCTATATGTTTATATGTTTGTCATAAGTAGTCATATTTCAAAACTTCTGAAAACATGTCAAAATTCACTGCTGCTGAACTGTTCTCATGACATCACACTAAAGTCCTCAGGCATAGGCCATATCACCTGGCTCTAGTTCCTGGGACATGATACTCTGGGTTCTACTCCGTGGATTCCACTCCCTTAAAGAAAACAAGAGATCATAAAAGTAATTTTAAAATTTAGAAAAGCAGAAGAGATAACGGGAAAACAGAGATGTGATCTCTTGTCGACAGAGTTCTGGTTAGTCAAACTCATTTTGGTTTGAATAGTTGAAGAGGGTGGATTTCCTGTGTCTCTGACCTAAAGGAAAAAACTATGACCTTTATAAATAAAGTGGGGAATGATCCCATTTTATAATACTACCACATGCTCACAAAGTTGGGTCAAAACAGAAGCCCCAGTATGAATTATTTACCTTATCTTCTTAAAGGTCAACTTTCTTCTCAAGATAATAGTTTGCTTCACAAGTTTTGTTTTTGGTTATTTTTTTTCAAATTTGTCAGAAAGAGTTTGGAGAGGTGGGCCTCCCTGGTGGTACAAGGGTTAAGACGCAACCTATGAAGAAATCCACCACCACTGCAGCACGAGTTCCATCCCTGGGCAGCCAGGGAGCTACCCACATGGTGCAGCAGACCTCTCCTGTCTCGCCGCTGCTCCCCTCAGCAGTGTATTTCAGTCAGTCTGCCTGTTCTGTTCCCCGCTCTGTCTCTGGTGAATCCGCTCACCCTCTTACACCTCTGGCCTGTACCCCAGTTCTTGTATGCATATATAATAAATAAATCTTTTTTTAAAAAAGGAGTTTGAAGAGGTTATAGCAAGATTTTTCTATTTTTCAAAGCTAACTGTTGTCAGTAAAATTTCTAATTTCCTAGAAGTTTGAATGAGTTTGCAGAGTCAACAGGTTCATGACCACCTGAGTTCTCTAGAAATTATTGTGAGATTTATAAATACATTTAGTTGGTTACCTTAGGGTCTGTTTGTACAAGTAGTGATTCTCAATAAAAATAAGTGGAGGTTTTTTTAATTATGAAATTTAGCAACTGTTCATACCAAACAGGTTCTCTATGATTTCGCCAAAATAAGACAACATATCTGGCTTTTTCTACCACAGAAAATCTCTTACCTCAATTACTGCATCATTCTACCTGGCGAGGCTAATAGAAATTCAAGTTCAAATGAGGAAACTTGCAAATGGTTTTCATCTGGCCTCACAGTTTACCCACTGACTGGCAAACACCACAAGAAAAACCTGCAGAAAGATAAATGATAAGGAAAAGTACATTTTTGATCATGAGCCCAGGCTCTTATAAAAGAAGCAGGCCTAATATTTATATGAAATTATTTGGGAATGAATTCAAAGTGCCACAAATTGCAAAATTGTTTTGTCCATTTAATTTTAAAATCTCCATGCTTAAAAAAACAAAATCGGTGGTAGTTTATTTTTCTCCTGCTTTTGCAAAGTATTTAATAATTTTACCCCATAACCCCATTTGTTGTTTAGAGAAAACAAAGTAACTAAACAACTTATATTGAATGGATGGCCACAGCACATTATTGGCACTTTAGAAATGTATATGAATATACTTAACAAATATATATGAATATATATATGGAGGTTCAAGTAAAGTGGGACACAAAATATTTCAAACCTTTAATTTTTGAATGTTTACTACTAAGGAAAAAATTCCTCAACTAAAAGCTAAATAATATTTTTATTTACTGCATTGTTCCTCCCTATTAGGAAGTTCTCAATGGCATTAAAACAACAGCATTAATCACAACACATACAAGCTTTTCAGTAACAAACAGGTGACATATGATAAGGGGTGGCACAGAAGCCTCACTAGACTTCCTGAAACAGAAGGACGAATTGACTCAGCTGTGTCTGGGGGAAGCAGGTGCTTCCGGGGTGCAATAAAGCTACTGAGGCAAAATTGAGAACGTGTGCAGGAGAGAAAGGGGGAGATTTAAAGTTGAGGGTGTGTGATTTTGTTTACTTGCTAGAAGAGTTTTTAAGAAAGCAGAGAGAGGTGAAAAGACAGGATCTATACTTTGAATTGTTTTTTGGTTTTGTTTTCTGAGGTTTTGAAGCAAAAACAGTAAAGGGACAAAGAAAACAAACAGAAGGGAGGACTTTCAGAGCTGGAAGTTCCCCTGCGAGCACTCAGGGGTTTGTGATTCTGTGGATAAGGCCAAAAGTGCTAACTCACTGTAAAGGCAGGACAGGACACAGTGCAGATTTTCTGATCCCATGCAGACCGGGTAAAGGAGGAGTCAGAGTCCACAGTGGTTTTGCAGGTTTTTATTGGGGTTCAGCGGGTACGTGGCAGGTAGGAGTGCTGGGGGGCTGGGAGGTTGGCAGTCCTCCCAGCCCCCAGCAAATCCTCACTCTATCTGGGCTCTCTGGCCTTCTCTGATTCTGCTTCGGGCTTCTTCTCTTTTGGCTTCTACTGGTGTCCCCGTGACACCACCCTTAAAAAAAAGCACAGTCTTTGCACAGGTGTACCCACTTCAGATGGCATCAGGAATGCATTCAGGATCACAGGGTTCCCTCATCTATCCTGATGGTGGGAGGGCAGAAAAGCCTGATTTTTTACCTTACCCTACACTCACAAAACAAAAAATTATAAAAAAATAGTTGCTTGTTGATTTTGACTTTTACTTTATTATAATTAGTCTTTTTCCTGGTCCCTTACACTGGGGGGAGGAGGGAGTAGGATCAAAACAAGGGGGTGGGAATTATATGGGGACTCTAACCAAGATGAAAATGCATATATTCTGGGCCTCCCTGGTGGCACAAGAGGTTCAGCACCACACTATGGGGCGGTCCACAGCCTCCGCAGCACGAGTTCGATCCCCGGCCAGGGAGCTACCCACATGGCGTGGAAGACCTCTCCTGTCTCGCCCGCTGCTCCCCTCAGCAGTGTATTTCAGTCAGTCTGCCTGTTCTGTTCCCCGCTCTGTCTCTGGTGGATCCTCTCACCCCCTGCATCTCTGGCCTGTACCCCAGCTCTTGTATGCATAAATAAATCAATCTTAAAAAAATAAGAAAATGCATACATTGTGCAAAAATGAAAAATGATGTAAAAAATAATAAAAAAATTTAAAAAAATATTTAAATCATGGAGAACAGCTGCCTGGAGGAGGGGCGGGGCGGGCAGAGGCGCGGGGACCCCCCACGGCGCCCCATCTCACGCACGACGCTCCATCTCCGAGAGACGCCGAGAGGCCCCCGCGGGCCGGCCAGTCCTGCGCGGCGCGCCCCCCCGCAGCCGCCCCCAGGGGCCAGGTGGGTGCGGGAGGCAGCGCCTGGGGACCGGACTCGGGCTGTTTACCCGCGCGGCCGCCAGGCGGCGCCCGTCCCCCTCGCGCCGACGCGCAGGTCGCCTTGGCAACAGAGGACGCCGCCGCACCGCGCGGGGAGCCGCGGGCGGGAGCGCGAGCCGCAGCCGCCCAGGTGTCCGCTCAGGGCCCCCAGGTCGGCAGGCGCCCCCCGCCCCAGCCCGGTCACTGGGACTGAGCGTCCCCGCCCTCGGCTTAGGCTTGGGGGCCCACGTGGCTGGGGCCGCGCTCTCTGGGGGACACCGCGCGGGGGTCGGGAGGGCCTGCGGGGTCTCCTGGGGCGCTCCTCGCCCAGGGGCGGCGCGGGGGGCGCTCTCTGGCCCCGGCCGACCCGCGTCCTGTCCCCGCAGGAGCCTCGGCGCCGGCTGCCCCGCGGAGGGGACGCCCCGGGCAGCTCCTGTCGATTCAGGTCGGTGACGCCGCGCGCCCCACTGGGGAGAGTTAGAAACGTCCCAGATTGTAAACCTCGTCCGCGCGCTGGACCCAACTCTTGCTTTTGAACCTCCCCCCGGATCCCGGCCGGCGGCCACCCCTGGGGGAGCCCCGCGCCCCCTCCCCGGGGTCAGCCGCGGGGCCCTCCCCGGCGGGCCTGCGGGCTCGGGACAGGGCACGGGCGTCTTTCCTTTAGTAATTTGTTAGATCCGAATCGGCTTATTTGTCTCCTCACTTCCCTTTCACCCCGTCACCAAGCCCCTGCTGCCCGCAGGCTGAAGCGTCCTCCGGGCGGAGAGGCCGCCCCGGGGCAGCCGCCGGGGAGCGGGAGGCCGCGGCCAGGACGGCCCAAGGCTGGGGGGTGCCGCGTGCGCCCCCCGGCGCGGCCGTCCTGGCCGCCGCCCCCAAGACTGGACCCAGGAGACTCTGTGTATGCACCACGCGTGGAGACGAAGCCGTTCTGTCCTCCACTGTCAGAGCATTTCCATTGTCCCCACAATCTCTTGCGTAATCCTGTCTCTAAAATGGAAGAACCTCAGGGGTTGGGAACAACGTAGATCTCATAGCTGGAGAAGTTAGTATAATATGCGGCATTTCCAACTGGCAATTCTGGAGCAGCAGAGAGACCAATTTTTAAGAATCTAACATCGGTTGGAACTGCAGTTCAACAATGATCAAAGGATGTGCCGGTCAAGGAAATACCGCTCCTTAGTTATGCAAGTGAAAATGTCACTCATCTAGCTATTCTTAAAACCTTGATTTGAATATATGGTTAACATGTCTCCAGATTGATTGTATTTTGCACTGGGCTATATATGTATAATTTATACAAAAAAAGGACTGATAGCTTTAAAAATTAACCTGTCGGTGACATCACTATTAAAATACTTTGAACTCAGGGTTCTTTTTAAACATATGCCAGAGACAATTTCTAAAACAACTTACAAATTGCTTTCATTTAAGCTTTGTAGTACAAATGTGTGCAAGCCTAAGTCAGCATTTGTGTTTAAAAGTTATTTTAAAATTCAGGGAGTTTTCCAAATTCAGGGTAGAGACACCATTCTAAGCATTAAATAGGGTGACTGGTAAAGAAAGCATACATTAGCTGCAAGTCAGTCATTAAAATCAGACATTATTGAATATCCAGTTTGTGCCCCAGCCGACACTAGCCTTAGTGCCACATCTATTTTTCAGTTCCCAAAGAGGAGGGTTTATTGATAGTTTATTGAAAATGAGTGCCATGGATGTGTTTCAAATGTTTTGTGCAGTGACTTCTGTGTGAGATAAGCACCATTTCAGTTTAGATTGGTTTTGTTTATTTATTTTTTTAAAGATTTATTTATTTATTTATTTATTTATACAAGCACTGGCTACAGTCAGAAGCGCGGGAGGGTGAGAGAATTCACCAGAGCCAGAGCGGGGAGCAGAACAGGCAGAGGACCAAAGCACACTGCTGAGGGGAGCAGCAGGCATCAGGAGAGGTCTGCGCGCCATGTGGGACCCTTGCAGGCCGGCAGGGGATCAAACTGGCACTGCAGAGACCGCAGGCAGCTTCACAGCCTAGCACTCAACCGCTCTGCCTCCCGGGAGGCCCTAGATTGGTTTTTAACCCAGACTTTTGGAAGTAGTGGTTCATTATGATGCTGTTAGACTTCTAACATTCATATAAAGATCTTTTAACTAAATCATGCTTTCAACCCTGCATGAAACGGTACTGAGAAATATTGTCATTACTAATGCTATTAAGAATCTTCCATTTTAATCTGCATTTGTATAAAACATTAGCTAACAAATATCAGGATCACTTTCAAGTGTCCAGCAAGAGTTTAGGGCAGAACTACCATCCTTCCCAGCCACCACAAAACTGTGAAAGGAATCACTAGGAGACTCTGGATTTTCTTGGTCCACAGAGTCAAGGAAAAAGTCATTGGGAACTTCCTAGATCTTGAACCAAGAGGCTAAGATTAACAGGAAGGCATGTACTCTTTGGAGGTTTTGGAGGGTAATTTTGCAATCAAGTAAGGCATCACCTTTGAAGTTGACTTGGTATGTGTCCATTTTTACTAAAGAGACTTTTACACTGAGAAGAATTCGGGGAATATTTTTTGGAAACATATTCTGACAAAAAGTAATTATAGAGTAAACTCTGGAAAAAATGGGGACCTGAGCTTTTCGAACACAGCCTCCTCACCTGCCCTTACTCTATAGTATGAAATAATGCCAAAACTGACTTGGGAGAGGAGAGACACTGTGATGTGAGCCACGTCTCCACAGAGCTCTTCTGTTGCAGTACTGGCACAATGGTGCTAAAGTCTCTTTAAGTTTCTCCTTATTTTTAAAAACTTCTCTGAGACCATGCTTCTTTCTTCCTACTGGTCTGAATAGAGATCTTACCTCTTCTATATTTTATCACTTAAGTACCAGGTAAAGTGCTGTAATGGGCAGGAAGGGACAGTGCAGGTTTTCTCGGATTCCAGCAGACAGATGAAGGAGGAGAGAGTCCTGGAGCCCTCGCTGGATTTTGCAGGCTTTTATTGGGATTTACCAGGCACATGGCAGGCAGGGATGCTGGGGGGTCGGGAGGCTGGCAGGCCTCCCAGTCCCCAGCGAGTCTTCACTCTGTCTGGGCCTCCGTTGTTCTCTGGTTTGCTCTGCTCTCTGCTCTCTTGGTTCTGTTGGCGTCCCCGTGACACCGCCCTTATAAGCCCAGTCTTAACCCAGGTGAATCCCATCTACCTATGCCCACACCCTACTCCAGGTGCCCGCCATCAGGCATGCATTCAGGGTTCCGTCATCTATCCTAATGGCGGGAGGGCAGAAAAGCCTGATGCTTTTTCACTTACCCCGCAAGTGCCCTGCACAGAGCTGGACCTAAATAGATATTTGCTGTTACTGACAAACAGATTAGGTGTCCATTTGTCAGGAATTACTATTCTAAGTGAAACCTCCTGGAAAATAATTGCATAGATGTAGGGTAAAGAAAATGTCAGGCTTTTCTGCCCTCCCGCCATCAGGACAGATGATGGATCCTTGCGGTCCGGAATGCATGCCTGATGGCGGGCACCTGGAATAGGGTGTGGGCATAGGTAGATGGGATTCAGCTGAGCTAAGACTGTGCTTTTTAAGGGCGGTGTCACGGGGGGACGCCAGCAGCAGCAGCAGCAGCAATAGCAGCAGTAGAAGCCGAAGCAGAAGCCGAAAGAGAAGCCGAGAAGCAGCAGAACAAACGCCAGAGAGCTCAGATAGAGTGAAGACTTGCTTCACTCTAGCACCCAGCCAGCACCCCTGCCTGCCATATGCCTGGTGAAACCCAATAAAAGACCTGCAAAATACCACTGAGGACTCTGACTCCTCCTTTACCCGGTCTGCATGGGATCAGAAAACCTGCTCAGTGGCCATTCCTGACCCTACAATAGGCTTTGTGAACACTGTTCTAGGAGTCTCCCTTTACTGAGATAGAAATTCTCTAGGTGGTTGGCAACTATAAATCCTTATAAGTATTTGTGAAAGTCCCCATTGTTTATAGAACATTAACAAATGCAAAAGTATATTTTGACATACTATCATTAGCTCATCAGAAGCATGTAACTGTTAAGCAGGCAATCCAATTGGCTTACTAATTTTCTCGGAAGTGTGTGAAACAATAAATCTAAATATAGTTTATGCATAAATCATGTGTGCTTAATGGAACCACATATTCACTCATATTTTATTAAAATCCTTTGCCATGAGCCACAGTGAAGTAACTAATTATACAGCAGTGAGAGAGTTGAAAGCATAAGAGCCAGGTAACAGGTAATTAAGTGAGATGAGGTCATTTTCCCTCCAGCACCAGATGGGTACCACAGGTGGGAACCATGGCACTTGATCTCTTCCATATGACTCAGAAAATTAGAGGTGAATGTTGACATTTAACTTTCAAATAAAATATTTTGCAATAAAAATCATTGTAAGAATAGTGAGTTATTGTAAAATGAAACATTGGTCAGCATGCTCTCTTTTTGAGCAAAATCAAATTTCAGAATTCTAATTCTGAAATAGAAAATCATAAAAATTTAACTTTTCACTGAAAACAAAGGAAAGCAACATCCCTAGCTGATAAATTTCTGTAAAACATGAAGGTATAATGACACATTTTAGCATGTAGCTTATGGAATTATTTTTAATATTTTCATATCTGTGATGTTCCTTAAGATAGTAAGCTGCCTTAACATTAAATCCTCACCTGTATGCTTGTCAGTTGGAAAGCATTTTAAAATAGTATATTTGTATTCATATTTACTTGAATCTGTTAGAATGATCGCACTTGACTAGAAAATCCCAGAGACAAAGACCTCACTGGAATTCAACGTGTAAGAACCATGTCTATGAGGTAGACATTTCAGAGTTTTTCCACTGTGAGTCTGAATAATCTAGATTACTACTTCAGTAATCCAAATCAATAATGAAAGCTAACAATAGCAAACCCCATGGATTTCTTTCCCCAGATCATCAAACTTGGCAACAAGCAGATATCCTCTGCTTTACAGTTACCTTGACCCTGAAGCTGCAGTCTGGAGTTATTACTAAGCAGGCATAGTATTTATTAAGTTTTGCCTGTGTATTTAGTCACTGTGCTAGGTTCCTTAAATGTAGCTTATGTAATCCTTACCATACCTCTTAGAAGCAATCTTAGAGTAAGATGACAAAGCTTTACAGATGACAAAACTGAAGTTCAGAAAGATTAAGTAGCTGACTGAAGATCACATAGATAATAGGTGGTGGGTATAGGATTAAAATATGCCCACACAATTTATTCACCCACCCATTCATTTATTCACTGCACAAGGATTTATTGTGTGTCTGCTATGCTAAGTGCACAAGGATTACATCATCCTCACTTTCATGGAGTTTCAGTCATTTCAAACAATTAATTACAAAGGTTCTTTCTGTAACACCCCATTACTAAAACACTGAAGGTTATGGCATTTTTTTTTTAGATCACTGAAAATTGAAGGATAAAAATCTGTTAAGGAAAACTATAATCTCACACGCTTTAGTACCCATACCAAATTTGTGAAGTCTGGCTTATTATATACGTCTGTGAAGAGTGGACCAGACATCCCCTTTGAAAAATATTATTTATGATAATTTTTTTAAGATTTATTTATTTATTTATTATATTTATTTATTTATACAACCACTGGGTACAGTCAGAAGCGTGGGAGGGTGAGAGAATTCACCAGAGCCAGAGCGGGGAGCAGAGCAGGCAGAAGGACCGAAGTACACTGCTGAGGGGAGCAGCGGGCGGCAGGAGAGGTCTGCACGCCATGTGGGACCCTCCTCCGGTGGCCGGGGAGCAGCCAGGGATCGAACCGGCGCTGCAGAGGCTGCGGGCAGCTTCACAACCCAGCGCTCAACCGCTGCGCCACCGGGGAGGCCCGATAATTTTTATAATTAGGTGCAAAAATCAATATCTGGTGAATAATTACTGTCAATACCATGTAATTATCATGAGCATTTGCATTTGTAAACCTCTTCAACTTTTATACTTTAATATGTTCTCTTATTTGCTCTTTATATCAACTCTGGTCAATCTAATTCTTTTGGATTCTAGTTTCTTGGTGTTCACAGAAAGTTGTGGGTTGGTTTTATTTTCAATTACAAAGTAAGACATTGAGCCGCTGCTACATGTGGTACACTCTGTCAAACACTGTGAAGAAATAAAATGATGAAAAAGCCCAGTCCTTGCTCTTCTATACAGAAGCTCACAGAGGCCACAGATACAGATGGATAAAATAAGGGAGTGAGTGTCTCAGGAGGTTTGGCAGGAGGGCGCAATACCTGTGCTGAACCTGACACTCCTATTGAAGAATCTCACTGATCCATAATGCCCCAGCATCTTAGTAGATGTTAGTTGATGTTAGTTCTGGAGTCATAGTGCAGACTGGATGGAAAGGCCAATTTTAAATTAAGTCCCAGAAATTCCTTGTCTTGAGTAAACACAATTACAAAAAAATAGAATTTATTTACATTCCTATGTTTTTTTTTTCTACACAGGTATTTCTTGCTAGATAAGCAACATAATGGAAGGCTCAACAAAAGCAAATAAAAAGGATGTTCAAACTGAACCACCAAAAGAAGTCAAAATGCCTATCAGCGAAGCACTTCTAGACTATCAGTAAGTTTAGATTATGTAAATGTGATCACTAAGACCCATATAATTTCATTTTTTTAATGTAGTATTTTTTTCTTTTTCATTTTTTTATTTTAACATTTATCATTTTTTACATTTTTTAGACATTTGCTTCCCCTCACCCCCTCAGATTGAGTCCCCATAGAATCTCCTTCCCAAGGCACCCGTGCACCATCACCCCAGCCCCCTGTGCTCCTCCCTCCCTCCCTCTAATCCCTCTCCCTCCTCCTCCCCTGCAGTATGGCTCTGGTTTATAATTGTCTGTTTTTGCTTTGTTGTGTTTTGTACTGTTATTATTATTATTTTTTTACACTGATGTCTAATTGGGTTCCCCTATATTCCTGTTATAAGTGACACCATCCGGTATTTTTCTTTTTCCTTCTGGCTTATTTCACTGAGCATAATTCCTTCTAGCTCCATCCATGTTGCTGTGAATGGCATGAGTTTATCTTTTTTGATTGCTGAGTAATATTCCATTGTGTATATGTGCCACATCCTCTTGATCCAGTCATCTATTTTTGGGCATTTGGGTTGTTTCCAGGTTTTACCTATTGTAAATAGTGCTGCAGTAAACATAGGTGTACAGGTGCTCTTTTGAATCACTGTTTTTATGTCCTTTGGATAGATCCTTAGGAGTAAAATTGCCGGATTGTATGGTAGCTCCATTTTTAGTAGACTTAGGAACCTCCAGCCAGCTTTCCACAGTGGTTGGACCAGTTTGCACTCCCACCAGCAGTGCAGGAGAGTTCCTTTTTCTCCACTTCCTCGCCAACATTTGTTGTTGCTTGTTTTTTTGATATGTGCCATTTTTACTGGTGTCAGGTGGTATCTCAATGTGGTTTTGATTTGCATTTCTCTGATGATAAGGGATGTTGAACATTTTTTCATATGCCTGTTGGCCATTTGCATTTCCTCTTTGAAGAAATGTTTTTTTAGTTCTGCCCATTTCTTGACTAAGACTCATGTAATTTCAAATGGAAAAATGATCCACTCAAAAGCTGAGGTGTGAACCTGTCCCCCTAGATCATGTTCTGTATTGTAAACCAATGTTAATTCAAGAACAAAAAACAACCCAGCTACTGAGGGAACAGGATTGGAAGTGCCCTTGTGCCATGTGCATATTTTTGAAAGTTTTTTAAACTCTGACTATAACTTTGTCTAAGTAGTAGCTATGTAACAGCAAAAATTAATACGATTTTGGCTCCCTCCAATGCATTCCTGGTCACTTTTCCTATATGTACAATAGTTTTCTGGTTCACCTCTTTAAAATACAACATAGAGTAGAACAGTTAGTATACAAATGTACTTGCAGCCTAAGCCCACTACTGTGGTCTGAGCTTCAGGGGAAAAGCACAGATCTGCTGAGATCAGAGGCCAGCTGCATTCTGAGGCTTCTGGGAAAGCACTGCCAATGGAATCATCCTTGGGCTGACCTTGATGGTAGATTCCTCCTTCACTTCAGGCAGCTGTAGCACCCAGGGAGGTTCATACCTGTGGTACTATACAGCAGCGACCCCCTCAATCCGTGTCCCATGGACTCTACCCTATAAGCTGGGGTCTTGGGGCACCACCTATGCTGGCTCTTGAACCACAGTCATACTGATTGGTGATGAACCTTCAACCAATACACAATAAAAAGCACAACAACCAAGGCCAACACCCTGGACTAACCTGCAGTTCTAACACTATTACAGCAGGTTTGGGATGGAAGGCAGTCTAGCTTAATTCATAGAAATAACCACAGAGCTCTAAACAGAATGAGGAGGCAGAAGAATTCACCCCAATCAATGGATCAAGACCAAATCCTAAAAAAAAAAAAAAAGATAATACAACAGAAATAAACTACCAGAAGAAGAATGGAATACAACAGTCCTACTGATGCTAACTGAAATTAGAACAATGAATGAACAAACTAAGAACTGTAACAAGAGCAAGAAAATTATGAAAAAGTTCCAAACAGAAATCATAGATAATATAAAAGTTGAAATAAAAAAAATGCAATAAAGGGTCTCAACAGTAAACTCAATGAAGTAGAGGACTGAATCAGTAAGTCAGAAAATAGGAGAGTAGAAATGATCCAAAAATATCAGTTAAATTTTTTTTTGTTAAAAATGAAGATGACATGAGAGACATAGCACAGCATCAGGAGGAATATTTGCATTATAGAGGTTTCAGAAAGAAAGGGGCAGAAACCCTATTTGAAGAAATAATAACTGAGGACGTCTCCAAACTGGGGAAGGAGACAGATATCCAGATGCATGCATCTTAAAAAGTTCCAAACAAAAGAAACCCAAACAGACACAAACTAAGATACTTTATAATTAAAATGGCAAAAGTTAAGACATAGAATCCTGAAAGCAGCTACAAAAAACCAAAGTGTCACATATAAGTGAACCCCCCCCCCCGTAAGACTATCAACAAACTATTACAAAAGAAGCTATCATTAAAACAAAATACACCTACCCAAACGGTCATTGTTTCAGAGAGTTGTCTGTACCATTCAGAAAAAAATCCATCTCCTTTTTGTGAGATTCCAAATGGAGTCACATGTTCTTTTTAGAAGACAGTGACTGGAAATATCAGAACATCCATTAAGTGAGACATCCATGGGAAAGGACTTTTGAAAAGTTCTTTTATCATCTATGTAAGATAATTTTCAGTAATAAGCAGATACCATCTGCATTCATTTCTCACCCTAACCGAAAACCTCCCTCATTTCACCTTGGGAGAGATGAACAAAAAGTGACACAACCTGATCTCTAATTTGCCGCCAAGGTTTGTAGTGATGCCATCCAATGACAAATGTTTCTGTTTTCTGGGTCAACCAGAGGTCAGTCTGCTTCCTATTTAACAGAAGTGTACAAAGAGACAGTGCAAGATATAATTGAACATTCCATGCTTTTGTTCTCTTTCCTTCATTAAAACTAAATAAGTAATCCACTAGAACAGTGGGAGAGCTTAAGCCTGGGCTTAAGCCAAAGGCTGTTACATGTGGCGCCCCCTCGAGGGGGTGCAGGTGAGGACCAATAGCCTCAGGTGAAATGTGGACAGAGTAACGGTGGTGGTGGAAACCTGGATAGGAAATATAAGGGACTGAAGAAGCTGCCCCCCAAGACTCAGCGATTCCAGGGTCTGCCATTCCTGCCCCCACCACACTGATCCTCCATAAGGCTGTTGCCTCCCGAGGATGTGGAGAGGCTTCTACAGGCAACCTCAGAGGACAAAAGTGCAGAGGCTTTGTAGGTAGCCCAGTGGCTGAAACTGTTCCCAGCTCTGCTGTTGTTACAGGCTGGAAGGGTCAGACCTGGAACTGGGCGCCTCACTGAGCTGTGTGAGTGTGGCCATTTGTGGGGTCTCTCGGCTGTGCAGCTGCTGTTTCCAAAGTAGCTTGTCTGGTGCTGTGCTGGCTCATCCCGGCAGCTCCTGTTGTGTCTTCCACTATCTTCTGAATTGGATCCTGGCCTACCGTCTGGCTACCATGTGCTCCAGGACCTCAGTAGCGGGAAGACTCCATCTTTAGAGGCTTTTTGTTTAGGACTTTGGGGTGAGCTAACTGACCGCTGTGGCCTCAATGACTCTTTGTTTTCCTTTGTTTGTTAACTAAATCCCATTATTGTTGTTCCCTGAACCTGAGTGGTGTTGCAATTGTGTGCACAGGTGCAGAACTCAGCATTGACCGGTAAACTATTTGGGCGATGTCCTTGGCCTTATTGCCCGGTGTCAGTAAGATTTGTGAGAGCAATGAAATTGAGAAAAATATACTGTCTCAGGAAAGAAACGTTTATTATTTATAGAAGAGATGGTATGCTAAAAAACTTGAACCCATAGGGATGCCTTAGTATTATATCAAGGTGATGTACTCCTTGATATAAACACTCCTTTTAGCTAAATTATTTATAGATAATGAACAAGTGAAAAGAAAAAATCATGGCTGTGAAATACAAATGGGAAATGCTTTTTTTTCAAACTTGAAGTTATCTTTCCAATATATCCTTCAGGTATATATTTAGATGAGACGATCCATTCAGAAACAAAAAAGTTTCCTACTACCCCTAAATGAGTTTGTGTAATATATTTAATACTTTATTTCAGTTTCAATAATTTAAATTTAAAAATGTTGTCTCACTTATTTTTCCTAAAATTTATAATTGTAACATGCCTTATCTTTGTCATCAGCCGTCAGATAAAGGAAAATGCAGTAGAACGCTTCATGGTCCAAATGAGGAAACTTAGGGAAAAGAATCAAAAGTTTCATGAAAGAGTAAGTGTAAAATTTAGAGCCCGTGTCTAGTCATTATACATTTATACACGTGCTTAAAATAATTGTGAATTATGATGAAATAGACTCCAGGAAATTATCTTATTTAGTGCTTAGACTTGATTAATTTGCAATCAATTTAAATTTTTTTGGTACGTGTGAAGCAAGAAGTTGCTATTAGTCCTATTACAACATAGTATGAAGGGAAGTTTGGAATAAATGTTTTTAGTCATAAGGACAAATACCTATGTTCAAAATTGCTGGATCACTATCTTTTGACTCTTATTTAGTAACTCCAAAACATTTGTTCTCTACTTTTAATTCTCGTATGGACCTTTTAAACATTTCAGAGCAAATGTAAATGTTCTTTTTCTCAAATCTCGCCAACTTGTGTTGCTAATTTTTTTAAAATGTGCCATTCTCACTGGTTGAGAGGTTATCAGTAGCATTATTTGCATTTCCCTGATTGCAAACATTTAACATTTTTCATATGTCTGTTGAGACATATGGATATCCCCTCAGAGAATGTTCTTTTTAGGACCCTGAGACTTCCATAGTTAATTCTTTGTTAATTAGAAAAAAATATTAATCAGCCTGTGCAGATTTAGGAGTTCAAATCCTGACTGTACAATTTACTGCAAAATGTCATCTCCCAAAACCGATATTTCAATTTTCTTTTGTAATTGGGCATCTATGTCTTCTCCAGAAGGCTCTTTATTTATGATGTATCCAGCATGTTTATCTTTAAATTCCATTATCAGACAAGCTCTTAGGGAGTAATATAAGTGTAAACATGCATTGATTGCAATCACGTTTGTTTCTTCCATTTCATTCTATGTAACAATGAAAGTTTCAGGTCTTATGCAGGTTTTAATCCAGAAGAGTTGATTTTGTGCATGGGTGCAGGTAGAGGTCAGCTTCATTCTTTTGCAGAGTAGCGACCAGTTTGAACCAGCACCATATATTGAACAAACTTTCTTTGCTCCAATCATTAGGTCTTTGCCCTTTGCCATAGATTGTTGGACCATAAACTGTGGTTTATTTCTGGATTTTCTATTCGCCCCCAGAGGCTGTAGACAGTTCTTGTTGCCAATCCAGTGCAGTTTTGATGATCTATGGCTTTGTAGAAAGTTTGAAGCTGGAGTTTCATGCCTCCATTTCCTTCTCACTGTCTTAGAGTTTGGCTATTCGGTTTCTGGTGATTCCAGCTGAATTTCCAATAATTGTGGCTACTGCTGTGAGAATGCCATTGTGGGGTCTGTTGGCTGTGCAGAATCTGTCTGCTTGTCTGGTAGTGCTGGCCATTTAATCCTGTTGTGTCTTCCAATCCTGAAGGGATGCTCCATTCTTTGTGTCTTCAGGACTATCTTTTGACTCCATCTTTAGAGGCTTTTTGTTTAGGACTTTTGACCTAACTGACCGCTGTGGCCTCAATCTTTTGTTTTTTTGTTTGTTAACTAAAAGGGGTGTATTGTTGTTCCCTGAACCTCAGTTTGTTGTTTGTGTACAGGTGCAGAACTGAGCCTTGCCGTGTTGAATTTGTATCCTGGCCTTATTGACCGGTGTCATTGAGATTGTGAATTAATGAAATTGAGAAAGAATATACTGTCTCAGGAAAGAAACGTATTATTTATAAAAGAGATAGTATGCTAAAAAACTTGAACCCATTTGGATGCCTTATGTATTATATCAAGGTGATGTACTCCTTGATATAAACACTCCTTTTAGCTAAATTATTTATAGATAATGAACAAGTGAAAAGAAAAAATCATGGCTGTGAAATACAAATGGGAAATGCTTTTTTTTCAAACTTGAAGTTATCTTTCCAATATATCCTTCAGGTATATATTTAGATGAGACGATCCATTCAGAAACAAAAAAGTTTCCTACTACCCCTAAATGAGTTTGTGTAATATATTTAATACTTTATTTCAGTTTCAATAATTTAAATTTAAAAATGTTGTCTCACTTATTTTTCCTAAAATTTATAATTGTAACATGCCTTATCTTTGTCATCAGCCGTCAGATAAAGGAAAATGCAGTAGAACGCTTCATGGTCCAAATGAGGAAACTTAGGGAAAAGAATCAAAAGTTTCATGAAAGAGTAAGTGTAAAATTTAGAGCCCGTGTCTAGTCATTATACATTTATACACGTGCTTAAAATAATTGTGAATTATGATGAAATAGACTCCAGGAAATTATCTTATTTAGTGCTTAGACTTGATTAATTTGCAATCAATTTAAATTTTTTTGGTACGTGTGAAGCAAGAAGTTGCTATTATTCCTATTACATTTGTATTAGTATGAAGGGAAGTCAATATAAAGTGTTATTTAGATCATAAGGACACTTAATCCTATGTTCAAAATTTTAAAGCTCTGAAACTACACTTATCTTTTGACTTCTTATTTAGTGTAACTATAAAACATTTGTTCTCTACTTTTAATTCTCGTATTTTTCCTTTTAAATTTTCAGAGTGCAAATGTAAATGTTCTTTGAAAAGTAAAATCTCAGTTCTTAAAACAGCTAATTTAATGTTTAAGATAATGTTTTTATGAAATCAGATTAAAGGGAAATTCAAAGAGGTGTTATACGTCATTATCAGGGATAGATTAACAGAAATAATGTTTGGAAACATTATAACTAGCATTATAACTATCCTTGAGGAAATATCAAGGATATCCCCTATAGAATGTTTGCTTTTTATGGACCCTGAGACTTCCATAGTTAATTCTTTATTAATTAGAAAAAAATATTAATGGAGCCTGTGGTCAGAGATAGGAGTTTAAATCCTGACTGTACAATTTACTGCCGATGTCATTTTAGCCAAAACCGATATTAACCTCAATTTTCTTTCTGTAAAAATGGGCATCTATGTCTTCTCCGTAAGGCTGGTTTATTTATTTATGTAGATCATATGCATGTTGAGATATTCATTAAATATCCATTGGGCCAGACAAGCTCTTAGGGAGTAATATAAGTGTTAACATGCTGACATTGCCACAGCTCGCAAAGTGCAGTCACTCATACTAGGGACAAACATGAAACTCAGGGCCACGGATGAGAGAGGAAAGAGAAGGTTGGCTGAGGTGCATGGATGCAGGTTTCACATCATAAGCTCCAGAGTATGCAGAAGTGAGCTACCAGCATGAACCAGTGCACATCCCCAGGGGTCAGTTTGGGGACTTTATTTGGTTGTAGAAAGGACAAAAATTCAGGTCTGAGGATTCATTTCCGCATACCCCATCCTTTGGAATGAGAAACAGTTTTTATTTCTGTAAGGTTTAGCTCAGGAACAGGATATGCCTAAATCTGCTCTGGGGTCATTGGTGCCCCCAGCAAGCAGACAGAGGCAAACTCTAACCACAGCTGTATGAACTGATTTATTTCCATTTATGCTACCATGCCCCAGTTTAAACATCCATCATCTCTTATCATCCTTCTGCTGTCCAATACATTTTCCATAGTACAATCAGAATTACCCTTTGTAAACCTTTCGGTGCTCAACACCTAGTTGTGGCTTTTTATTACACAGAAAATCATAGTCCTTACTGAAGCCTGCCAGGCCCTTCCTGCAGAATCTCCTCTTGGCTCAACCTTCCACCTTGTCTGCAGTGACACCGGCCACTGCTTACCACTGCTGCTTTTCAATCCTGGGAAGCCCAGGCTCCTTCTGGTTGTTGTACATAAACCATACACAGGTTGTTTCCTCTGACCCAGAATGCTCTTCTCTTGACCGGTCCCTTTTCATGCCCCAATTTATACCGAAATGTGTAAAAATCTATTTCCATTATAAAATTGAAAGCATGAGTAAGGGAAGAGTAAGGTATTCAATAAATATTTCTTGAGTTGATTCATACCAGCACCAGTTAAAGAAAAACTTTCTGAGGCCACAGGTATCTAAATTGTTAAATGAAACATGATACACTAGCAAGACACACTTTCCTCTCCAGTTCTCCTGCTTTTCTGGCCATTTCTTCTTGGTTTTCACTCATTGCCCTTTCCTGAACCCACCCCAAAATCATGATATTTACCAGGGTTCAGGTCTCAGCCCTTCTCTTTGCTCTAAACTCTCGCTGGCTGATCTCATTTAACAGCATTACTCCAAATGCCAGCTGTAGAGTGATAATTCTCATAGCTCCATGTGACAACGTTTCATAATCCTATACACTAAAAAACACGAACTCATGCAAAAACTGGTGAAATCCAAATAGTCTCTCGTTTAGTTGATAACATTGGACCAATGTCAGCTTGATAATGTGCTATGGTTACATTTGATGAAATCATTGGGGAAAGTTCCATGACTTTTGTTTTTGTTCTTGTGAGTCTTAAACAATTAAAAAGGTAAAGACCATGAGATGGACTTATAACAAAACAATATCAATCTCTTTATTACAGCTTATTTACTGAATCATCTTTTTTCTATTTTATAATGCGATAACTATTCGTACCTTAAATAATAATCCCTGTTTATTTTACTTTGTGGGATAAGTGTCTCCTCTAGCGCATTGCAGGATATACCTAAGTAAAGCCTATTTCAGTGTGTCAACCAACATAACTTTCTAGGTATAATGAACTTTGAACATGTTGTCATACACAAATGCCACACCTTCAAATACCACCGCACTGGGGACAGAGCTTCAACATATAAATGTGGAATCGTTTGTAACAGAGTCATTGTGCTTTCTTACATTCTCTCTGCATCTTCACTAGCATATGGTGACGTCACTGTTTTGTTTTAACCATCCTGGTAGGTAGGTAGTTTTGATTTGCATTTCCTTCATGACTAATGATGTGCTTATTTGCCATCTACATATCCTCTTTGGTAAAATTTAACTTTTTGTCTTTTGCCTATATCTTAATTGAATTTTTATTATTATTAATATTGAGTTTTGATGATTTTAGAGAGATTTTTCTAGATGATAATTCTTTGTTGGATGTTATTAGCAAATATTTCCTCTCAGTCTGTAACTTATCTTTTCATCTTCCCAATAATCCTTTCACAAAGCAGAAGCTTTTGATTTCAATAATATTCTGAGTATCAATTTTTCATTTACTGCTTTTGATGTCAAGTTTGAAAACTCTTTGCCAAGCCCTAGATCTCAAAGACTTTATCCTATGTTTTACTCTGAAATGTTTATGATCTCACCTTTTCCATTTAAATAATGGTCTATTTGAGTTAATTTTTATATAAATGATGAGACTCAGCTCAAGGTTCCTTTTTTCTTCCTGTAATGGTAGATAGTTCTGATGTCTTCCTCTTCTTATAAAAATAATAATTCCATCACAGTGGCCCCACCACCAGAAGCTTATGTAAACCTGATGATGTCCTGAAGGCCACACCTCCAAATACCATCACATTACGGAGGAGAGGTCTTCAACATATGAATTTGGAGAGGGAAGAGTGCATCACATTTAATCCATAGCACGGTACTTCATTCCTTTTTATGACTGAATAATATTCTGCCTGCTTGAATCTGACATTGAGCCCCTCTAAAGAAGTTTTCATTTCAATTATTGTACTTTTTAACTCCAGATTTTCCACTTGACTGTTTTTTAAAAAACAATTTTTCTTTACTGATTTTTCGATTTGATGAGATATCATTTTCGTGTTTTTCCTTAAGTTCTTTACACTTTGGTTCCTTTAACTATGAATATATTTAAGATAGCTGATTTAAAATCTTTGTCTAGAAAGCCCAATGTCGTAAGTACCTCATGGGCTGTTTCTATTGGTTATTTTATTCTGTGCACAATAAAACTCCCAATAGGAGGGTGGGGGGAAAAAAACACCCAATAAAAATGTGTATGAGTTATACTTTCTTGTTTCTTTGTATGCCTCACAAATTTTTGTTGAAACTAGACCTTTTGAATATGATGATGTCACAATCCCAGATATTAGCTTCTCTTCTCTCTCCAAGGTGTGTTGTTGTTGCTGCTTATTGTGGTTGTTATTGTTTGGGTAGTGACTTCTCTGAACTAACTCTGCAAAGTCTGTTGTTTATTCTGTGTCATCTCTGAACTCTGCTTGTGTGGTTTCGGGGTCAACTAATGATTGGGCAGTTTAACCAATAAAACTCCCAGCCTTTGTGTGTTGAGGTTTACCTTTGACACTCAGCTAAGCAATTAACAGCTGCCCCTTTACCTTCACTTCTTGCTTCCACAGTAGCACAAAGATGGTTCAAGGTGCGAGCTTAGGGCCTTCGTAGGTCATTCCTAAGTTCACGCACAGCACCAAGGCTGTACCCAGCACTCTAGTTGCCTGCGGACTTTCATATCCCCAGAAACATGTCATAGCTTTCAAGAGCCCCTATGGGCTTCTTATCCCAGCTTTCATTTAAAGTTGTTCTTGGTCAGCATGTTGTTAATATCAACTGTCATTACTGCCTCAGAGAGTTATAATGTTCAACAATTTTCTCTGATTTTTTTTTTTTTAACAATAATCAACCTGGGAAAGCACTGTTCACAAATTATCCGAGCTTTCAAAGACAACTTTGATCAGTGGGATTTTCTAGGCAACCACCAGGTAAATCAATCAATGACCATTAGTTGGGAACTGGATTTTGGAACAGTTTTGTTCCTTCTCCCCACTTCCTAACCCCCAATACCAGGCTGCTAAGCTGCTGGTTTTCACCATAGTTATGGTGCTGTTGAATTTTTAGGGAAAATTAAAGTGCTGCAAAACTCACTGTCCTTCCCAAGATGGAAACATTTATGTTGAGTAAGTATACTGTCTGGAAGTTATTGTAAGCCTTTAGTTTCCAGAATTCTGAAAAGTTAATTGCCAAAATTTTCTGTTTTTTATATTGCTTCTATGAAAGGGGACTTTTCAAGGTCTTGACTCCACTGTCCCTCTATATGCTAAATGATAGTCAGGCTTTTCTGCCCTCCCACCATCAGAATTGATGATGGATCCCTGCAGTCCTGAATGCATGCCTAATGGCGGGCACCTGGAGTAGGATGTGGGCAGACATAGGGGGGTTCACCTGGGCTGAGACGGGGCATATAAGGGTGGCAGCGTGGAATGAAACTACCAGTGGAGGAACAGCAGAACCAGAAGGAGAACCAGCAGAGAAGCAGAGACCACGAGAGAACGCCTGAGAGCCCAGAGAGAGTGAAGTTTCGCCCGGGGCGGGGGCTGGCACCCCTGCCTGCCATGCACCTGGTAAACTCAATAAAAGCCTGAAAAAGCCACCGAGGGCTCCAGGACTCCTCCTTCACCCGTCTGCTAGGATCATCGAGATCCTGCACTGAGCCCTTCCTGCCACTACAGCCTCCTTATGTCATTCCCAGTAAGAGTGATTAGAAAGAATTCCATTTTCAGGCACATCTATTATGAATCTCTTTGTACTTAAAATTCTTCAGAGACAAAATTAATTGTGATACTTTAGAGTGTTGAAAATAGAAGATCAAAATGGTTAAACTGCTAAATTTTGAATATCTTATTTTTAATCTCTATTTCTATTTTTTGAAAGCCTATCCAGCCCTATTTTTTTTTTTTTTGGCCTATATTTTCAGTACTGAGCAATATAGTTAATTTTCCTTGCTGTGTCCTATGTATCACTTCAATATAGCTTATGAAATAACTTAAAAAGCATGAAAATCCTATCTGGAGTTTATTAAAACACTGTTTTGTGAAATAATTTTAAGAAATCAAAATATTCAACCCTCAGATTTAAAGTTTGTTGGGTTAAGTAATAAAGAACTGAATTTTAGTAGGCTGTAGTACTATCAATAAATAACAAATATTGCTGCTCTAGTGAAGCCTGTGAGCCAGAAGACTTGCAACACCTGGAGCTTGTCAAGGATGCAGATTGCAGGCCTCACACCAAACTTACTGAATCAAAATCTGCATTTTAGCAAGACCTCCCAGTGCTTGGGATATACATTAAAACTGGAGAAATTCTGGCCTAGAGAATCAATTTGGGGAAAGAAAATGCTCATGAACTAAAACATCCAAGTTAGTTAAAAGAATAAAAGCCATGAATAGCAACAATAGAATATAAAGATGAAAATTTATAGTAAAGAAAATGATAAACTAGAAAAATAAGACTTTTTTAAAAAAGATTTATTTATTTATACAAGAACCGGGGTACAGAGGTGCGGGCCAGAGGTGCGGGGGGTGAGAGGACTCACCAGAGACAGAGTGGGGAACAGAACAGGCAGACTGACGAAATACACTGCTGAGGGGAGCAGTGGGCGCGACAGGAGAGGTCTGCCCCACCATGTGGGACCCTCACCAACCAGCTGGGATCTAACCGGCGCTGCAGAGGCTGCAGACAGCTTTGCAGCACTGTGCTCAACCACCTGCGCCACCAGGGGAGACCCAAAAAATAAGTCATTTTTAAAAGGCAATGTTGATGTAACGGCAGGAAGAGCATGGAGCAGGTTTTCTATGATCTGAGCAGGCGGGTAAAGGAGAGTCCTGGAGCCCTCAGTGACTTTTCAGGCTTTTATTGACCTTTTACCAGGCACATGGCAGGCAGGGGTGCCCCGAGCGAGTCTTCACTCTTTTCTGGACTCTTGGGTGTTCTCAGGTGCCGCCATCAGGCATGCACGCAGGACCGCAGGCTCCATCATCAATGCCAATGGAGGGAGAGCAGAAGAGCCTGACAATCACTTACCCTACAGTTGAACTTTTTAGATTATCAATGTAAATATTGCATCTGTTGTTGCTAGTTACTATTGATTTTCATGACAGAATAAACGCTTAAAGGATGAGCAGATTTGGCACATACGGAACCTATTAAAGGAACTCAGTGAAGAAGAGAAGTCGGTGGTATTGCCAGCCATAACAAGAGAGGAAGTTGAAGAAGCAATGAAGGAAAAATGGAAATTTGAGAGAGACAAGGAACAAAACTTGAAAGGTGATTTAGGAACCTAGAAAATTGTCCTAATTCATTGTATCAAGTTAATTCTTGATTATATTAGTGGCTTGTATCTATCAGGTTGGGAATTCCATTCACGTAGTTCAGAAGACATCATTGCCACCACAACCACAGACACGTAAGCTCAATGGGCAGGGGAGGGGAATGACAGAGCGGGCAGAGGCACTGCGGGAGCAGGACAGTGACCAAAATCAAAGACCGATGAAACCACCTGACTCCACACCAGACGACACCCTGTTCTGCACCACCGCGAACTCCTGACAGCAGGGACACATGCTTCCTGTTGGGAAATTTACTTGTTTGGTGCCTTCATTGACTTCAGCCTCAGTTCAAATTTATGAGTGAAGTTTGTCCCCCCAATATCTTCAAAGAAGCTACCCACTCCTCTCGCCTCCCGTTAGATGGAGAAAGAAGAATTCCAGTTGGAAAAGGGCAAGTTTGGAGGTCGAGCTTAGCGATGATGGGAGGTGCGGGAGGACATGTTGTTGTGACTGTCACATACTCTTGTGTCACATGGTGGAAGTCCGAGGAGATGAACTTTAGACGACAGACTCAAACAACTTACAAAAATGGTTACGAGAGGTGGAAGAAGGATATAAACTGAAATTACTTTGCCCATAAATGGCCATAAAAAATTACAGTTTACTGATAATCTATGTGATATAATAAATTGTACAAAAATAAGATTGATATCAAGCTATCGCAGGGGTAATTCAAAGTTATTCCTAGAGTTTGTGTTTAATTGTTAGCATCTCAATCACAGTCCAAAACCACACATCTACTACATAGGTAGAAGTTTAATTTTAATTACATTTTGAATCATTAGGGATAAGTTCGAATAGTTTAATTACCATCAATTATAGATCTAAAGTATCTGGTAACAGAATTTTAATATTAATTTTGGTAACAGAATTTTAATATTAATTAATTTAATATTAATTTAATATTAAAATTAAATTAATTTAATATTAATTTTGGTAACAGAATTTTAATATTAATTTTATCAGTTTCATAAAATCAAATTGCAAGTTGCAATGACAACAGAGTGACATGGGGCCTTGATTTTCTTTCAATAGATATGCGCACGCAGATAATTAATAGTGAAAAGCTATTTCTTGAGAAACTTGGTGAGAAGGAATATTGGGAAGCGTACAAGAATGTAGGGAGTGAACAGCATGCCAAAATCATTACCGCCTTACAAAATGACATCAGCACAGTTAAAGAGAACGCGGAGAAAATGTCAGGTCAGTTGCAACAAGACTAGTGCATGTTCAATAAGAAATCACGCTCCACATTATTTGGTGGAAAAAAGATTGGGTGTTTCCTGACCCGCTGGCAAAGGGGGAGGAAGTAGAGAAACTATCCCGGGACAGCCTATAAGACTGAGAAGGGAAAATAAAGGAGTGGGTGATGCGGGAATGGAGAAGTCCTGCAACCATCTGACCTCAGGGAAGAAGCTTAGTTCTCTGGGGGGGTGTCTGTGCTCCCACCCTGGGTCTGGAGAATTCCGCTAGGGTAAGGGGTCCTGGGAGTGGGTTTATCAGAAGGGGAGCTCACCTGAGGCGAGCTCAGGCAACTTTCCCAGGCTAGATGTCCAGAATCACTGTGGAGACGTGCCCAAGGAAAGGCTAAGCCATGGTCAGAAAAACGCTGGCGAGCAAAGGTGAGCTGGTTGTGGAGAGGGTGTGCATGCGGATGGCGTCAGGTGCGACGGAGCTCACTAGATCCAGGAACCCTGAGACCACCAGTCTGTCGCTGAGGCGAGCACAGTGGCTTAAAAAACACCGGAGAAATAACTCATGCAGTGCTGCAACCCCAAAACAAATAGCCTGATTGAAAAATGGGGAGAGGTTGTTGTAAAGGCAGGAAGACAACAGTGCAGGTTTTCTGATCCCATGCAGCCGGGGTGAAGGAGGGATCAGAGTCCTTAGTGGCTTTTTGCAGGTCTTTTTATTTAGATTACCAGGTACGCAGCAGGCAGGGGCGCTGGGGGTGCCGGGAGGCTGGCAGGCCTCCCAGCCCCCAGCAAGTCTTCACTCTATCTGGGCTCTCCGGCCTTCTCTCTCTCGGCTTCTGCTGCTTCTTTCTTGGCTTCTCTTTTGGCTTCTGCTGGCGTCCCCGTGATGCCTCCCTTAAAAGCCCAGTCTCAGCCCAGGTGAATCCCATCTACCTATGCCCACACCCTACTCCAGGTGCCCGCCATCAGGCATGCATTCAGGACCGCAAGGATCCATCATCTATCCTGATGGCGGGAGGGCAGACAAGCCTGACGTTTTTCCTTACCCTACGGTTGTGAAATAGACATATCTCCAAAGAAGGCACACAGACGCCAATAGGCTCGTGGGAAACTGAGGCATCGTCCCTCAGTTCACTCAGTGTTCTATAACACAATACCAGAGATTTAGTGGCTTATAAAGAACAAGAATTTATTTCTCATACTTCTGGAGGCTGGGACTCTTAGGATCAAGCCAGCCGAGATGGTGTCTGGTTAGAGCCCAGTTTCTGGTTCAACGACAGCCACCTTCTCACTGCCCTCCATGGCAGAGGGGGCGAGGGAAAGCTTTGGGCACCCACTCATCCTACCCATGAGGTCTCCCATCTTCTGTCCTAATCACTTCCGGATGCCATTGCTTTGGGGATTGGGTTTTAACATATGCACCTGGCTGGGGGATGTATTGTAAGAGAAGCTGGTACACTGCGCCCTGAAACAAGGCCCAAGCCCAACTGGGATGGGGAGTTAGGGTGTCCCTACAGGGAGACAGGAGCCTGGGGGTAGGGGGAGGAGGAGGAGATTGAGAGCCAGAGGCAAAAGGAAGAGTTACTTGCTAATCAACCTCCGAAGAGAGCACATTCCCTACGTCAGGGACATGCGAGTGGAGTATTATAAGTAGCCATTGAGAGGGTGGTCCTTCGAAGCCTATGAAAACAGCCCCAGAAGGGAGGAATCAGTTTAAATTCCAGCGAGGACCAGAAAGAGGAACATTAGTTCGGGATTGTCTCAGTCAAGCAGAGCCTCTCCTGTCCCCGTCTGTGCTACGCTTGAACCCTGAGGGATGCACAGAAGCCCCAGTCAGAGGAAAGAGCAAGGTCCACGCTAGTAAAAGAATAGCCATTACCTTGATGAAGTTTAAGGTTTTTATTTTGATGGACAGATGAGTAACTGATTTGAAGGACCTTTAATTATCACAAAGGAAGCAAAAGAATCGTAGAATTTTCCATACATTTTATTCAGAGAGAGATACTAGCCTTAGGGTATGAAGGGAAGAGACAAAAGTAAAGTTGCTCGATCCCTTGATCCCTCCCCGACACCCCTGTGTGATCCGTGTGGGCTGTAACACCCGCAGGAAGGAAGGGCAGCACCAAGGGGGAAAACATGAGCTCCCCTGACCCGGGTGGCTCTGCGGATGGCTCCTTCCAGGGTCACCCCTCATGGTCTCTGACTATTCCTTTCCTGGGGCCCTGGCTTTGTTCTGTGCCTGTTTCCTTTCTCACTTTCCACAGAAAGTCCTGTGATTCCCCCTGACTCTGAGGAAGGATGGTCTGATCACCTGCCTCAGCAAAGATGAAGCAACGCTTCTGTCCATGCTTCCCCGGGGGTCATTGGTTGGCTCCAGCGGCAAACTTTCGTTGGCCAGCTCTCCAATTCTTCCTTTTGCCACCGCCTCCCCTGCGCCTTTGAGGCTGGGGCAGGAAGGACCTAGTGCTGCTTCCCTGAGCTTTAGCTCGAAGGAGGGTCATTGATGTGCGCAGGACAAGACTCAGTGCAAGGAAAGGGAAACTTAGATGAGGTCCAGGAATAAAGTGTGTGGTTATTCACTCAAAGTCACTAGACATTACAGCCCCAGAGCATCCTTACTTTTGTCCTTCCCCAGGGGTCCCCGAATTGCTTGTGCATTGATAGCAACTTAAAGGACTTGGGTTCAAGTTCATTTACAAAAAGAGGACATTGCTTTTTTGAGTAATGGCACGATCCTTTAAAATAGAAGTAACTGTGCCCTGTTTAAAGGTAACAGAGGCCCAGGGAAGTTATGTGTCTTAACCAAACTCACAAACTTAGTTAAAAGTAGTAGAAACGGGACTCAAGAAAAATTTACTCATCTGTGAAATGAGAGTCCCCAGTGACCCCCAAGACAACATTTCTAGCTCCTGCAGTCTTTCTTTTATTTTTCATTGAGATAAAATTTCATTATAGCGTAGAATTTCAGGTGTGCATCATTGAGAATCAACAAGTATAGATACTATATCAAGTCCCCAGTAAGAGCCCAATCCTCTTGTTTGCTATACCATTATCACTTCTGCCCTGATTTACCCACTCTCCTTCCCCTTCCTTCTGGTAACCACTAATTTGTCTTACAGCTTCAATCTTTATTTAGTTTTATTTACTTCATCCATTTGTTTTCTCTATATATGAGTGAAGTCCTATGGCATTTGTCTTTCTCCATCCGACCTATTTCACTAAGCATAATATCCCCCATGTGTTGGTGCAAATGGCAGGATTTAAACTTTATAGCTGAGCAGTATTCCACTGTGTATATATGCTACATCTTCTTTACTCAATCACCAGTCAATGGGCACTGAGGTTGTTTTCAGTTCTTGGCTATTGTAAATAATGCTGCAATAAACATAGGCAGCACCTGCTTGTCTGTCACATACCTCATCTAACTCTCCCATGTCCCTTTGAAATAGAGGGAACCGTGCCCTGCTTAAAGATAACAGAGGCTCAGAGAAGTTCATTGTCTTAACCAAACTCACACTTAGTTAAAAGTAGTCGAAATGGGACTCAAGAAGCAGTAAACGGTATGTGTCGAAGGGAGGCGTCTGACCCAGCCCTGTGACCAGGGAGGAAGGTGGCTCACCAGAGCTGAGGGTGTTGTTGGCTGCACCTGTTCTGTGGTCTCCAGAAAGGGCCTGAAAGGAAGACACCACCACAGGAGCGGATCAGCACATAAAGTGGGTGAAAATTGGATCACCAACTCCAAAAAGTTCTGGAGATGCCAGTGAAGGCCAGACACAACAGGGAGGGCAGAACCGTGCAAAGCAAGCAGCAGCCAGCGTGGATTTGCTGTCAGCTTCTGGGACATGCCCCGTGAGAGTGGGGATCCCAGCAGCCAAGGCATCCTCCCTGTTGCAATGTCTCAAGTCTTTATGAAGAGACTTTCACATCCTCGCAGTTTCTTCAGTTATAGTCGCAAATAAATGGTTAATGGTTGTTATCCAAAGCATGATCTGATCACAATAGGTTTTGCACATCTTCCCTTGTGTTGGTTACTCTAGTTTTAAAAGGAAAAAACAGTGCAGAGAATTTTCTGTGGCATTGGAGGCAGAGTTGCCTGATAGACTGGCTGCTCTGGTGCCGGCAGGGCCGTGTAACTACCACCTTTGGGCATGTTTGCTCATCTACTTTTTATGATTTACAGCAAAAAATTAATATTTAATGTTTTCAAGCTCCAGGTTTTATGTTTCTTTCAAATGCTAAAAATATAAAATCCATTATAGCTTTTAGATTGATGGATGTGTTTTCAGAGATAGCAACTTCAAATAAAGGACCCAGTATCAGTCCAATAGATGAGGTCCTGAATTGAAAAAGAAATTACATCAGAAATTAGATTGTAGAGCCTCCCCGGTGGCACAGGTGGGTGAGCGCAGTGCTGTGAAGCTGTGCGCAGCCTCTGCAGTGCTGGTTTGATCCCGGCCGGCAGGCAAGGGTCCCGCATGGCACCAGACCTCTCCTGTCTTGCCAACTGTTCCCCTCAGCAGTGTATTTCGTCAGTCTGCCTGTTCTGTTCCCCGCTCTGGCTCTGGTGAATCCTCTCACCCCCCACACTTATGGCCTGTACCCTGATTCTTGCATAAATAAATAAATCTTAAAAAAAAAAAGAAAAGAAATTAGATTGTAATGATTAAAATATTCAAGTAATTACTTTGAGTGAGAGTAAGAAAAATGCAGATTCTAGAGATGTGCATATGTAGGTTAGAATAATGAAGAACTCCACTTTTCTTTTTCTCCAGATATTAAAATAGACAAGACCCCAAACCTAGTAAATCCCGCCAGACATCTTGGTGCCAACTCTATCAGAGGCAAGAATAGTCCTCTCCCGACCCCCTTTCTTGTCTCTCCACAATGTGGGAGAGTCCTCTATTTACCCACCCCCCTTCCCTCCCCACTAAAGTTCTCACCAAATGCCATCATTTGCTGCTGCTGTCTTGGTGATGAACATCAGATCATTGGCCTGGGAAAGATTTGCCAGTTGCCAAATTTCATTTCATTTTCAATATATTTTTCAATATCCATTCTGTCCCAGGAATTACAGCAAAAATGGAAGAGACATGTTTACACTCCTTTTTCAGCATTTTCATGAAATGGGGGAAGCACTGGTGCCAGAAAGAAGCTCAGAGAAAGGCTGCATTGCTCCCACCTCCCTTCCAGGCCCGTCACCTCCTTGGCTTGGTTTCTGGTCTATTGCAAGACCAGACCTCGGATCTCCTTGCCAGTAGATGGAGCTCCTTGAGAGCTCTGCTTTGAATGACTTGGTCTGGTGTGACAATTTTCCCTTTGAAACAATATCCTACATGTCATGGCAGTTAGCTTCCACAGTACTAGTGAACAATACTATTTTTCAGTTATAGAATAAGTTATATAGGCCTAGGTAGACCACTCCAGAAATCTAGCAGCTGTAATTATCAACATTCATATAGGAAAATACTTTGACTTCCAAGTAATTATCTTTCAGATGTTTTAAATAAAACACAGCTAATGGGGACAGATAGCAGAGATAAGACCTTAAACACAACTACTGATTATTCTCAGTAGTGAACACGGCTCCTTCCTGTCACACACTGCTGACTACCTTACTTTGGTCTTTGCCCAATTGTCCCATCCACAGGGCCTCTCTGGTGGCACAGGCTCTTTAGTGCAGCGTTGTGAAGCTGTCCGCAGCCTCTGCAGCACAGGTTCAATCCCAGCTGGCCAGGGAGATACCCACATGGTGCAGCAGACCTCTCCTGACTCACCCGCTGCTCTCCTCAGCAGTGTATTTCATCAGACTGCTTGTTCTGTTCCCCAGTCTGTCTCTGGTGAATCCTCTCACCCTCTTGTACATCTGGTCTGTACCCAGCTCTTGTATAAATAAAATAAATCTTTAAAAAAAAATCTTCCTCTGATAAAATAGAAAGACTTAGTTTTTCTTCATCACAACCACCACCGCCTAAAATATTATTTGCTATTTAACTTCTGTATGGTTCTGGAGCCTCACCACCCCACCCCCAGAATATACAGCATCTTCCCCTGGCCTTCAGTGGTGTCACGCACACCAAGAGAGCTTGATGACATCTTGTTGGATAAAAGTATGAAAAAACTGGACTCGTTTACCTAGGTTTATTTCTCTCCACTCTCTAAAGCAGCCTCAATATTACTGCTCTTGGCTTTCTTTAAACAGGGCTGTTGGTTATATGATCTCTAAGCATCATTCAAGGACTAAAGTCAGGCATTTGTGGCATAAGACATTCTGGAGAAGATGTCAGACTATGTACGTCCTCATCTTTCTTGCTCTGAGCCCAATTCAAAACCCAGTCTCCTGACTTTTGCAGCCCCTCTGCTCCTCACTCTCCTCTCAGTCTGCCTTTCCTGCTCAACAATATTGGAAATTTAATTCACTGGTGTCCAATGTACAAGATGCTACTCAAGCAGATTTCAAATCTTTATATTTTTGTGTGGAAGCAGAAGGGTAGGTAGCCACACAAATTTTGAAATGTTAGAAATTCTCCCCTTGGAGAAATAAACCCTTGAAAATATCAATTTTCTTGATGAAAACATCACCTTCAACTACTTCACATTAACATGCTACTAAATAATTGGAGCATTTCTTCTGATTGGAGGGTACTAGATTCTTCAGTAAAAATGTACCCTCAAGGGCCTCCCCTGGGGGCGCAGCAGTTGAGTGCTGGGCGGGGAAGCTGCCTGCAGCCTCTGTAGCACCGGTTCAATCCCCGGCCGCTGGCAAGGGTCCCACATGGCACGCAGACCTCTCCTGCCTTGCCCGCTGCTCCCTCAGCAGTGTACTTAGTCAGTCTGCCTGTTCTGCTCACCACTCTGGCTCTGGTGAATTCTCTCACCCTCCCGCGCCTCCAACTGTACCCAATGCTTGTATAAATAAATAAATCTTTAAAAAAAATGTACCCTCAAAATCCAGGAGGGGGAATTGTGTTGAGGTTTCTCCCACAAGGTCGTGTGACCAAATTTCACCTTTTCTTCCCACCATTTTGCATCCTGTGGAGGCCTGCTGGGAACAGGACTTCGAAAATATGGCTGGAAAGCTCTGGACAAGTTTTGCTACCTAAAAGTAGAATCTCTTGATCCAGAGGGTGCAGATAGATCTCCATAAAATTGAAGGGGATTATGCTAAAGATAGAACTAAATTTTATCTAGGCAAGAGATGTGCTTATGTATACAAAACAAAGACTAACACTGTGACTCCTGGTGGCAAATGAATAAAACTAGATTAATCTGGGAACAATAAGGCGTGCCCATGGAAACGGGCATGGTTGCTACCAAATAGTTAAAAGCAACCTTCTTGCAAAAGCCACTGGACACAGAATCTATGTGATTGTTGTACCCCTCAATAAACTTCCTGAAAAGCAAGTAAATAAAAGTGGATTGTTTTCTTGGCGGGGAAAAATGTATAGAAAGGAAAGGTGAGGATCATGGAAGATAAAATTTACTGACATTATTGTTTTACATAGGATCAGCCTTGTAAAGGTTTTTACTTTTTTTTTTTAAAGAACAGTATAAAATCACTCTCCATGATGCTAGAAAGAAAATAATCAAAGAAACTTTGCTGCAACTGGACCAAAAGAAGGAATGGGCCACGCAGGTATATTTCAATTTTCTTTCATTGAATGTCAGTGAATACACGTTCGTTGATAATTTCCTCCCATTTATTCTTGTGATATTCAGATTAAGAACTTAACTTACTAAGTGTATAAACTGAATTTGTTACTTAACTTTTCTACACTTTGGGTTCCTAATCTATAAAATAGAGACAGTAGCAGCATGTACTTTGAAGACCGATGTGAGGATTGAATTAGATGAATTAAATAGTTTATCACCCCACAAGGAACAAGAGCTCAGTACATTATCATTCAGTTATTTTTAAGCATAATAATAATGGTGTAAGGGCAGGACAGGACACAGTGCAGGTTTTCTGATCCCATGCAGACCGGGTAAAGGAGGAGTCAGAGTCCTCAGTAGTTTTGCAGGTTTTTTATTTGGGGTTCACCAGGCATATGGCAGGCAGGGGTGCTGGCTGGGGGGCTGGGAGGCGGGCAGGCCTCCCAGCCCCCAGCAAGTCTTCACTCTATTTGGGCTCTCTGGCGTTGGTTCTGCTGCTTCTCGGCTTTTCTTTCGGCTTCAGCTTCGGCTTCTACTGCTGCTGCTATTGCTGCTACTGCTGCTTCTACTGCTACTGCTGCTGCTGCTGCTCGCGTCCCCCCATGACGCCACCCTTAAAAAGCACAGTCTTAGCTCAGCTGAATCCCATCTACCTATGCCCACACCCTATTCCAGGTGCCCGCCATCAGGCATGCATTCAGGACAAGGATCCATCATCTATCCTGATGGCGGAAGGGCAGAAAAGCCTGACATTTTCTTTACCCTACAAATGGCAACAAACAATACTATTAAATAAAAATTTGGTATGAATTATAGGAAAAAATACAATTTGTCTAAAAAGTACTTTCTTATGTGTCCAAATCATTGCTGGAGTATTAAAAGCTTGGGATATACAGTGTTTGAGATATAATTTACAATTTTATATGTTTTCTAATATCTTTGTTTTGCACAAAATATCTGAACTTTCTTTTTGTTGTCCTTCCCCTGTTCCCAGACTGTCTCCTAAATCCCTTCTGGATTGTCTCTTCTGGAATAGCCCTTCAGAATCAAAAACATCTGATCTTTCCAAAATTCTTAACTGAGTTTCAGTTGCTATTGTTTGTTGCTTCCCCATTGGTTCAATTTCTTTTTTTTTTTCAGTATTCTTTTCTATTGCATGATTTTTTACTGAGTTGTACAAATACAGAGGATTATGGAGAACTGACCACTGATTTATCTCCCCATGCAATTTGTCCACTCTGTGGCTGAAGATGAGTAAATGGTGAAATCCACAATTAAGTGATCTGACCATAGTTAATGATGGTTAAACTATGAAGATCCATATGCTACAAATGTGTGTGTGTGTGTGTGTGTATTTCATTATAAAGTGAAGATTATGTCATGGCCATAAACTTGAAGAAAGTTTGGTCACTGTAGTTTAACCATCTTAACTGTAGAGCTCATTGAATGACTGATTTCACAATAGTAGTCAGATTTAGTCATAATCAAGGCTAAATTGAATTAACAGCCAGCATCCAATTCTCTAAATTGCCTGTATTAAAGGTGTAAATAAGCAAAAAACAAAAACAAAAAAACAAACAAAAAAACACACAAAAAAACAGTATAATAGAATGGTAAAGAATGACCGAGCCAAAAGTTCTTAGGTATGTTTCCAAGTTGCAAAACTTAATTTTCAATGATCGACAAGTCAATTGTGCATCACCACTGCTACAACTGTGATTTGCTGTGTGGCCACTCTTCCTTAACACAGAATTTTTCTTTTAGAAAGCTTTGAGGTTAATTGACAAAGGCAGCTATCGGGAGATCTGGGAGAATGACTGGCTGAAGAAAGAGGTAAGTGAAACTGTTAGAAAAGGATTTCTTCTTTCTCATTTTTTGAACTACAAATGACTTTTGTTTATGAGCTGAAGTCATTGAAAGAGCCGGAACTCTGACCGACTGAGGTCAAATGAAATTCGAGTGGAATCCCTAATCTTATTAAAGCAGTGTAAGTCAGGAATGGACACAGTGCAGGTTTTCTAGGATCCAGCAGACTGGGTAAAGGAGGAGTCAGAGTCCTTAGTGGCTTTTTGCAGGTCTTTTTATTGGGATTTACCCGGTCCACAGCAGGCAGGGCTGCCGGGAGGCTGGCAGGCCTCCCAGCCCCCAGCAAGTCTTCATTCTATTTGGGCTCTCCGGCCTACTCTCACCTTCTGCTTCTCTTGCTTCTCTCTCAGCTTCTCTTTCAGCTTCTGCTGCTCCTGCTATCTCGACTTCTTGGCTTCTGCTGGCGTCCCCATGAAGCCGCCCTTAAAAGCCCTGTCTCAGCCCAGGTGAATCCCATCTACCTATGCCCACACCCTACTCCAGGTGCCACCATCAGGCATGCATTCAGGACCGCAAGGATCCATCATCTGTTCTGATGGCGGGAGGGCAGAAAAGCCTGACATTTTCTTTACCCTACAAGCAGTTACTCAACATATACTACAAATAATTTCAATTGTACTAAGAAATCATGTTTGGCATGACATAGTATATGCAGTGTATTTAAATGTACAAAATGTCTTTATCTCCTAACTTTTATCTGGCCTTCCCTGCTCCCTTGGGTGACAGGAACAAGGCAAAAGGCTCGATTTAACCTTATTCTCTGCTGTTTTAAGTGGCCTCTTTGAGATCCCACGGTCTCCTTTGGATTAACTGTCTTTTTTGTTTACTCTTCCTACCCCTGCTCTCTCCAAGGGGCATATTACTAAAGAAGGTGCAGAGGTTTCCTTCAGATCATTCCTCCTCCACCTTTCTGTTGTGGGGGAAGGACTCTAATCTGCACCTGGCACAGGGGATTTCTGAAATGGACTAATGTGGACATTATTTTGCAGCCAACTCTGGTTAAGTCATTTATCGAACCCCTGGTTATAGTCACTTGTCAATGACAAATACGTCCTGCACATACCGCCTCTAGATCCCACCCCAGCTTGCCCCCCGGCTCTCTTCTCCCCTCCTCTGGAGAGCACGCAGGAATCCATGCATGCAGAGTGCTGCCTCACTCAGCGGTCTGGTCTCCCTGTATCAGCGCTGCAACAACCGCCCTGGCTGCCTGTGGCCATGTGACGACCTCTACGCCCTTGTTACAAGCTTCTGCCCTGTTGTTCTTACATCCTATACACTGGTTCCTCTGCCCTTACGTAGCTCCTTACTCTCAGCTGCCTGGAAAACTCCAGTGCTTCCGTTTAGGATGGACTTTGAGAATCAATTTCCATGGGAGTCATTTTGTAACTCCTCCAAGAAATCTTTAATATTTCTCCAGTGTGCTCCTGTTTTACTGTAACTCTTGCTTAAAAATATGCTGCAATGTCCATTTGTTGTCTTTTCACTGCACTGACTGTATCTTCTCAAATATATGTACTAATGAAATTTAGTAAGTCGTCTATCCTAACTAAGTGGAAATTGAATGAAACATTATCAATGAATATACATAAATGCACTGGAGGAATGAGTTAAATATGTTGGTCAGATCTCAGGTGAAGGAAGCAGTTATGTTAAAACCTTTGTGAATTGTTTGTGTTGTGGTTGAAGAGAGAAGACTGATCCTATCTGTTATGAAAGGTCACTGAAGTAAAATTACAGTAATACAAAAAGGAGCCCATCAAAAGAGAATAGGAGGAGTTAACCAGCGGAATCTGTTTTCAATTATTTTCTGAAGACAGAAAGTTGACGTTGAGGACATGTTGCTAAACGAAGCAGACAAATCATCTTTGGTCTAGATGTCACAGGAGTGCTGGGCAGGCTCTGCAAGGCTCACTGCTTTGAACTTCCCTTTGCCTCCAGACTAGCAGCTACACGACTTCGGCTTAGATGCCATCTAGGAAAGAAAACTCACTGCGTTTGGAAAGAGTCAATGCCACACAGCTTTTGTGAGCAGATTATTTGTATGTGATTCTCAAATGTACATCGTCAGCACTAATTTGGGTATGTCCTCAGCTCTGAAACTGAATTTTTATTTTCATGTGCGTGTCCGAAAGGCGCTTCAAACTCACAAAACCTAAAGCAGCACTCATTAAATTTCTCCTTCAATTTTTGTTTTGTTCCCTACGGTTCCTTTCTCGCCATCTGCGCGCACCTCTGGGGAAAATGTCAGGGTCTGCTTCTCCTTTTCCCTTTTCTTTGAAACCTATTGGACTGGAGTTGGTGAGTGCAGGAGACAAGGGGTTTAAGACTCAATATGCTTTCTATGCTTTTGACAATTATGTCTAAATTGGCTTTGTAGAGTCGTGGTGAATAGGAGCCCTTACTCCTACTAAAAAACCAATCAAGATGAATCCTCATTTTCTAAAAAAAAGGCACTAATTTTAAAAAATTCGAGGTGAGTTTAATAGTTAAAGGAATATTAGGGAAGAACTTAGTTCTTATGCTTTCATTAAATACAAACAGTATGATCATAATGATTATAATTTAACTATTCAAATCAAATCTTATAAGATGCCACAGATATTTAATTTACAGAAAATGAATGCAAAAATATTTATTTTACTGACAGGAAAGGCTGGTAGGTTGCCATGATCCTTCCTACTAAAGTGAAAAATTACATTCTGTTTTGTCTTATTCTCATAATTTAGTGGAAATAAAAAATGTCAAGTTTAATTGAATCAGGAACAAAAAGAGTTCAGTAATAAAGGTCAAGTAATTTTAAGGTAATGCAATACATTTATTTTCTACTTCAATAAATATTCATTTTAGCATTATTAAATTTATTCACAAATTAATTAAAACCCTTTTTGGTTATAAGTATTATCATAAAAATTGAAAATTGCTTCCAAATTGAACAATATATGTCCATTAATTTATTTGAGGAAGGTTTAGAATGAGTAACAAGGAATATTTAATAATGGAACTCCTAAAAACTTTTTTCCACGTAACTATCTCTCAAGAATAACCAAAAAACTTAGATCTCTGAGAAGTATATGAGACCTCCCATTGCATGACTTTAATGATCTAGTTTTATTTAGCATGTGAATTAGGAAAAGGAAGAAAACTGAAATTCCCAAATAGCTTAGATTAGAGTAAAAAAATGGGAAGCCAGAGAAACGAGAGCAAGGGAGGCAGAGTTTCACAATCAGAGTTTCAAGTGTGAAAGGGCACAAGGTCAACTTGGATCTTGCAGGAGAAAATGTCAAAAGCATACACTCGATTCAGGATCCTAGGTCCTTGTCTTGTAACAGTTTTAACTAAATGTTCTGCCCTTATTTCTTAAGCACATTTCTTTAATATTTTGGCAGAAGAGGAAGGAGGGAGGGAAAGTGGTCTTCTACTTCCTTGCTTTCATTTTCTGGAAATCTAAGGTATTTATCTGGCAATAAATAGGAACTAGTTTTCATTCCCTAACATTTTGAAAAGCTGGGAGTGAGGTAACATTAATGAGAACCTTACTGAATACTCCAAAGGGGTATGTCACAGGATGGCCATAGCTTGAAAAATGGAGCTTAACTCCCTCCAAGGGACCTTATTCTCAGCTTCAGATGGAGACCAAAGACGGTGTGTGCATCTCCCAAGCGCACCAAGTCCTTAGGTCAAACATTCCAAATGTGCTGTCAACTCCTTCTGCTTCTTTCTCATCCTTTGACATTTGAAAAATTATAAACTTTCCAGTAAGGCATTCAGGCTTGTAATCAAGCTGATTATTTCTCAACCTCTGAGATCCTAAAGCACCACCCCCTAGTTTTGTAATCAATATTACAGATTTAATGATTTTTTTCTAAATTGTTTAAGGCACATACCTAATATATGCCCTTTTTGTCCTAATTCCAAACCACCAGAAATATTTTAGCCTTTTCTATGACTCATATTGTTTTATATTCTAATTGCTTGTGTTTTGGTCACTGAATTGTAAACTCTTCTGACGGCAGGAGCTATGCTTTAATCCCCTTTGTATTCTCCTACATCTAGCTAGTACAGAACTCTGCCCTAGTAAGAATTCAAGCATTTAATAAATGATTTATATGCTAGAAATATGCATGTGGTAAAATTCTGAATGCTTCAGGATTAAAAAATACAATAATTAAATTACAAAACAGAAATATTAGTATTCACCTTCCAAATGATCCGTTATATCATATTACCTCAAGAAAATACTCTCTACAGTTTATCTTTCTATTATTCTCACCAACCTACCACTTTCTCTTTTTTATTTTTACTTCTAATTCTTCCATAGTCCTAACCTGTCCCCATAAGTACCTCTTGATCCAGGACTTTTTTAGTTCATGCTGCTCTGGGTGGGCAGAGAGGTGAATTGGTCAACATTTCTTCAGTAAATGTCAACTAAGTCTGCCATGTCTATCAGTGACATTCCATCGCCTACAAGACAAAAATCAGATTCATTAGCTGGTTTGACTCTTCCCAAATTGTCTAGTTCCTCTCCTACTTCTCCCCACTCCCTTTTTATATCTACCCACACCAAAATAATTGTGTCTTTGCACATGTGTTTCCTTCCACCTAGAATAGACCCTCTGTTGTCAGCCTGAGGAATCCCTACATGGTCTTCAAGATCCAAATGAGATGTCACCTCTTCTATTAGTACCTCCCCCTTTTTTTTAAAGATTTATTTATTTATGCATACAAGAACTGGGGGACAGGTCAGAGGTGCAGGGGGTGAGAGCTTCACCAGAGACAGAGTGGGGAGCGGAACAGGCAGATTGACCGAAGTACACTGCTGAGGGTAGCAGCAGGTGAGACAGGAGAGGTCTCTGCGCCCTGTGGGTAGCTCCCTGTTTGGGGATCAAACTCATGCTATAGTGGCTGTTGATTGCTTCATAGGTTGCATCTTAACCCCTTGTGCTTAGTACCCCCTTAACCCCTCATAGCTGGCAGACATAGAATGAACTTTTTTTCCTCCCACAGCACCTGGGCAACTTCTATTATGGTTTTAATCACACTTGTTTCTATTTTCATTATATCTTTCTCACTAGACTAAGAGTTCCTTGAAGGTTATTATATCTTGCTGATCCTTTGTTTCCAAAGTGCATGATGGGTTCTGGTACATAGCAGTCATAGAGTGCAATTGGATGAATGGATGAGCAATATTCCATTTGCTTGATATTTCCTGGAACCACTACAGCACTCAGAGAAAATATATTTGTATTACAGGAGCTATTAGAGCCAGTAGGGCTGTACTTCTGTTTTTTTTAATGCCATAACATAGGTTTTTTTCATTATGAAGTTTCATTATGTTGTTTATAATTAACCTTAGGCAGATTCTTATTCTTATACAATATAGATAAAAATATTTATCCTTCTTCTTATTTTCTTGTTTACCTCTAGCTCAAATATAAGCCCAGTGATATTTTTGAAAGGGTAGGAAAGGACAACTCCTCCCATTCTCTTTATAAGTGCCTAACCATGCACATAGGTTATGCAAATAGTCTAGAAAATAGTCCTACTGTTCCTTCTTTGAAAGGGAGGGCAAGCAAGCCCAATAATAAATAATACAGGATAGATCCAACCCTCTGACAAATATAATTTTAGGAGTTGAATTTCTTATAGATTAAGTAGACTAAGTCAATAATTGCTAACAACCACTCTCTTCTGAGAACAGATTGAAATTCACAGGAAGGAAGTTGAAGATATGGAACATGTTATTCATGAACTGGAAGAAGAAAATTTGATGCTTATTGATCAACTATTCAACTGTAGACTTGTGGATCTCAAAATACCCAGGTATAAGTCATTAACATATCTGGAAAATATTTTTAAAACATGTATATATGAAGAAAAGTTTCTTTCACTTTGTTTTTAAATTTATAAACATTTTTAAAATATGAATAAATCTTCTTTGCACAATGAATGTATTCATTATATGCCACAAATATGATAGTGTGCATAAAATGCCTTAAAATGGTAGAGATCCCAAAACTTGGTTTTTGCCTATTCATTATGTTTTTTTAAAGATTTATTTTATTTATGCATGCATGCAAGAACTGGGGTGTAGGCCAGAGGTGTGGGGGGGGGGTGAGAGGATTCACCAGAGACAGAGTGGGGAACAGAACAGGTGGATCCACTGAAATACACAACTGAGGGGAGCAGCAAGCAAGACAGGAGAGGTCTGATGCACCATGTGGGTAGCTCCCTGGCCGGGGACCAAACTCACGCTGCAGTGGCTGGTGATAGCATGATAGCTCTGAGACTTAACCCCTGCGCCACCAGGGAGGCCCCTATAGTAGCAAACACTTAGCATGAATATCACAGCTGCCAACCTTCCAAAGTTTCTAGGCAAGGAGGGGAAATGGACATACAAATAAATGTATAGCAATATAGTGGAAGTTGAATGAGAAGCCAGAGTTAGAACAAAAGAGCACAATTTTGTGGCTGCTTCCTGAAAGTGTTGTGGGCTTCAGGTTACCTTGTGAACTACAGAATTATTTCCCTTGATAGTTAATGAAAGAGTCAAACTATCTTCTAGCACAGAAAATAGCCTGGTATTCCATGTCACAGTTGCTCCTGCACAAAAGAAATCATGCATGCACTGGTTTTGATGTTAAGTTACTGCTTTTTTTTTAACCTGACAAAAGGATTTTAATATTCCAGTTTTGATGGAAAAAACTATGCCCTGAAGTATAAAATTAAAACTCAAAGTGGCAGTCATAATTTGGGCAAGCAGTCAGAAACAAGAAGTCAAAGAAATCATCTAAATAGCACATTTAGGAGCAGAGGGGCAATGAATCACACAAATGCAGGGATATGCCCAAGATGGGAAAGAGATGTCTCGGCATAAGAATTAAAGCAAAGAAGTTAAAAATGGTAGAAGGGTCAGGAAAAAATTTTCATCCATGTAGTTCCTGTTGTTTGTGTACCGTGGAAAGAAAACTATTTGAGACATGATAAGGTTTTTGTTGCTGTTGTTGTTACTGTTTACTTATAAACTTCTTAATGTGTTTTGAAAAGGGTGAATACAGGTTAGGTCGTGTGGTTTTTGTTTGATGCAAAAGTGCAAAGTGATGGGTGTTAGGATACAAGATTGGAGCCACTGGAAGCTAGTGCTATTAATTACTTTATAGCCTGAAAGCTGGTGGGGAGGTTGGGGTGTGTGCTCCACAGTAGAGAAAGGTCACCTACTACCTCTCTCCCAAAATTTATGGGGGCTGCTCTAGAAAAGCAGGTACGGTACAGATGGTGTCGGCAGGCAGACTGAACCAACTGGCTGGTCCCTGAGCTCCTGTAGTCACAGTCTTGCACTGATGCCCTGGCGGACCCCCCCGGGAGGCGGGCGTCTGGCTGCCCCCCAGGGAGCTGGTGCTCTTTTTTTGCCAGTCCTGCACTCTCTGATCAGTTTTCCAGCTTCAGGCTTCTGTTCCGCCTATAATCCTTGCCATCTGCTCTGCCCGCCACCTTCTTTGTGTTCATGTCTAATCTCCACCTGCTGGTGCTGTGGCGTCCTTTTTTTTTTTTAATAATTAATTGTTTTTATTTTTTTTACATCATTGTTCATTTTCAAACAATATTTGTTCCCCCCACAACCTCAGGTGTAGTCCCCATGGAGTGTCCTTCCCCAAGGCACCCGTGCACCATCACCTCAGTCCCCTGTGCCCCTCCCTCCCTCCCTCTCATCCCTCTCCCTCCTCCTCCCCTGCAGGATGTCTCTGATTCACAATTGTCTGTTTTTGCTTTGTTGTGTTTTGTACTGTTATTATTTTTCACACTGATGTCTTGTTGGGTTCCCCTATATTCCTGCTATAAGTGAAACCATCCGCTATTTTTCTTTCTCCTTCTGGTTTATTTCACTGAGCAGAATTCCTTCCTGCTCCATCCCCGTTGCTGCTCTACCTGCCACTCTCTCCTCCTCTTTTCTGAACCCGCCAGACCTTAGAAATGAGCTACCCCCTGCCCTGCCAACTCCACCTCCCGCTTCAGTCAGTTCAATCTGGTGTAATAATCTGGTGTTGATTTGGATGTGAAGTGCCAATTATAATAAAGAGTAATTCTTTAATCCGCCAGATAAAAGCTGGCAAGGATAGAAAGGGAGATGAGAAACTTTGAATGGGGATCTGCATTATGCTGTCTGCTGTCTCTTACGCAACTTAACCCAGCCCTGAGTCTTCCCACAAAAATCTTCAGTAAAATTCACATCATCCATTGCTTTGTGGCTTCGTTTTCACTCGGGAGAAACATGAGTGCTTAGTCCTGCTTCAGGTTGGGGAGAGATGGAATAAAGAAGCTTCCAGGGGAAAAAACGGCATGAGCAATGCTCACAAACCCTGGGTTGAGTGCGGGTGAGGAGGCCCAGAGCCCCGAGGCCACACTGGTCTGGACAAAGCAGGACAGGCTCCTGCTCCACAGGGGGCTCCCAGATCACGCAGCCGCCAGGAGAACCACCCCACACCTGCCCCACGAGAGGCTCCTGAGTGGCTCTGCCTTGCGACCTGCCTCCAGGTGCACCTGGGGGTCTGAGCAGCCGGGTCTGCCATGGTCCTGGAGGCAGGTTCTTGCCCAGAAAGAGGACGAGGCCTGTGGGCCAGCCACCGATGCAGCCACTGATGCAGCCACTGAGGCAGCCACCGAGGCAGCCACAGATGCAGCCACAGATGCAGCCACAGATGCAGCCACCGAAGCAGTCACCGATGCAGCCACTGAGGCAGCCACCGAGGCAGCCACCGATGCATGTCCTGCAGCACTAAATAAATAAATATATTATTTAAAAAAATATATTTAAAAAAGATAAAAATATATTTAAAAAAGATAAACACTGGGTTAGCTACCCTAGTTTATGCTTCCAGGATTCTCTGCACTTTCCCTTTGTGTTTGCCATGCTCCTGATGATTTATTTAATGTCTGCTTCCTGGCTAGGTTGTTACAGCCTTGAGGCAACTACTTAGGACATTATATAAAGATACATACAGATGACTGGATCAAGAAGATGTGGTGCATATACTACAGTGGAATATTATTCAGCAATCAAAAAAGATAAACACATGCCTTTTGCAGCAACATGGATGGAGCTAGAAGGAATTGTGCTCAGTGAAATAAGCCAGAAGGAAAAAGAAAAATATTGGATGGTTTCACTTATAGCAGGAATATAGGGGGACCAAATAAGACATCGGGGAAAAAAAATAATAACAGTACAAAACACAACAAAGCAAAAACAGCCAATTATAAACCAGAGACATCCTGCAGGGGAGGAGGCGGGAGAGGGATGAGAGGGAGGGAGGGAGGAGCACAGGGGACTGAGGTGATGGTGCACGGGTGCATTGGGGAAGGAAACTTTATGGGGACTACACCTGAGGGGGTGGGGGAAGCAAATATTGTTTAGAAATGAACAATGATGTAAAAAAAATTAAAAAGTTAATATAAAAAATACCAAAACAAATAAAATACTAAAACAAAAAAATAAAGATACACATAAAGAAATAGAGAAATGTGTAAACCCTCAATTATCCATTACACTTCTTACCCAGGGAGTGAATTTGAGTGGATTCAGGAGCTTTCCCTAGACCCATTTTCAAGTCAGAGAAATACAGCACATATTGTATATTTTATGGCAACTGCCCTTTTTTACATCTTTGCTGAGAATTCTAGTAAGATGCTAAAAAGTAGCTATTAACTCTTCCTAAGAGACATACAGAAGTTCTGTTTCCCTATTTAGACCAAAAGTAGGATATTCTTGCTCATAGAATTACTACGAGAGGAATGTTCACTAGGTGGGACCTCCAGGACCACAGGGCTAAGGCTGAGTGGATGAACGCCTATAAATCTAACACTACTGGATACAATAACATTTTTTAAACTATTTTCTATATCATTAAATATCAAGTGTTGCTGCCCTATCAGATATAAAAGTGACAATGACTAAGAGAAAAGTCAGATTTATGAAAGTTATGGCATTTTAGTAAGCTATTAATTATTCAAAATAAACCAGGGAAGAAGAGAATTCTAGGAGCCCAGACATGTCTGTCTGCAGATGAGAGCTACCTGTAAAACTAACCTTTACTAAATCAAATCTTTAGAAGCGTTTATAGATTTAAAAATTGTGTGCTGTTAAATTATTTGTTAGAGTCTTAAGCAGCTCAGATTAACACTTTATTCATGTTCTTTAAAACTGGCAGCCTGGGCCTCCCTGGTGGCTTCAGGGTGAAGTCTCAGCACTACCAGCACGAAGGCCTGAGTTTGATCCCCTGCCAGGGAGCTACCCAGAGGGCGCAGCAGACCTCTCCCCTCTCACCCGCTGCCACCCTCAGCGGTGTGTGTCAGTAGAGCCGCCTGTTCTGCTCTCCACTCTGTCTCTGGTGAATCCCCACCCCCAGCTCTGGCCTATACTCCCCAGTTCTTTTACACAAAAATAAATAAAATCTTTTTAAAAATTAAAATAAAATTGGAAGCCTGTAATCAGGGGATTCACTGTGGTTGCTCAGCTGCTGAGCATGAGGGGTGTTTGCACATCTGTACATCTTCAGACAAACCACAAGGAAGTGCCATAGTAAGCTTTCAAGGCAGCAAATTTTCTTTTAGAAATTTAGCAGGCATCTGAAAAACAGAGCACAGAATGAAACCCAGGTGCAGAGCTGCAGTAGCAGGTGCACAGCTCCCTGGGCTTGGCTGGAACACGGCCCTCTCTGCACACCTACATGCCCCCTGAGGGCTCCCCACTCTGCCTCTCCTTCCTCTCATCACATCCCAGCCAGACTGTCAGCCCTCATCTGGATCGCCGCAGGTGACCAAACTGACTACTCTCACTTCTGGGACTCTTAAGTGTGTTGTTCTCACATCTGGGAGTGACTTTCCCTCATCCCAAGCTCTTCCTTGGCAAACCTACCCCCAGTTCCTCAAGACGCAGCTCAGGTTTCTTCTCATGGAAACGTTCTGTTGTCTCCTACAGCTAAGTCAGGTGCTGCTTCTTTCTTCCCCATAGCATGGTAAAACCCCACCTTGGTAAAACCATCACCCCAAAACCCCATTGGACCGTATGCTGCTCAAAAGTAGGAACCATGTCTTGGTTTTGGGTTTTTTTTTTATGTGTCTCTAGCATGTGGCAGAGAAAGAGACATTGTTTAGCAGGTAGGAATATTTGTTGCCTGACAGGCTGCTTTCTTATTTGTTCTTTTAGGAGACTATATCTTACCCAAGCTGCTGGACAGGAAGTGCCACCTCAACAAATGCCATTGCAGTCACCAGGAACATATTTAGGTATTGCTTCATTACTACGGTGATAGTTTTTTGTTTGTTTTTTCAATTTAGCAAACACACACTGAGCATCTGCTCTGGACAGGCACCGCAGACTCATGAGCTACTTAGGGGGTAGATATGCGTCAGCCTCTATGTTTTGTTTTTTTCTTGCAGTGCTTGTCCTGACCTATCTGCTTTCTCTAGTCTGATTTTCAAATCAGAGTCACCATATTTCACAGTGAAGTAAATAGATACCAGTGGAGAGAGACAGAAAGTCTTTGACACCAGTGTGGTTAGGGTTCCAGTTTAGCCAAACGCAATACTAATATACATATAGGTTCCCAGGTGATCACTGTGATTTGTTAACTAACAGAAGGAAATACAGCTTCGAGTTTCTGAAAATGGGACACATTCTCACTTTAATACGTACCTTCTACATTACTAATTCTCCAGCTCATCTCCTCCAGGAGAGTCTCCAAGGGCTTTCAGATTGAAAAATGGCAAGCTAGGCATTGTATTTTTATTTTTATCTGTCTGAAGCATGGACATAATTAATTTCTTTACATTCATCTCACAACCTGTAGATGTAAAAAGTAAAGACACGGTGAGTTCATTGGCGGAGAGCACTATCCCGCACTTTGGTGAGGAGACCATCACAGATGAACCGCATGAGGGGAATGACAAAGGAGAGAGCATGTGCACAGAGTCTGGGATCTCTAGAATGGAAAACCTACTCTATGAGGATGAGCAGGATTTCAAGGTAAGATTCATGTGAACACAACTTTGATTATTAAGAAAATGCTGTGGGCCTCCCTGGTGCCGCAGCAGGTTGAGTGCAGCGCTGTGAAGCTCTCTGTAGCCTCTGCAATGTGGGTTCAGTTCCTGGCCAGCCAGAGAGCTACCCACATGGCATGGCAGACCTCTCCTGTCTCGCCCGCTGCTCCCCTCAGCAGTGTGTTTCAATCAGTCTGTCTGTTCTGTTCCCCACTCTGTCTCTGGTGAATCCTGTCACCCCTACACCTCTGGCCTGTACCCCAGCTCTTATATAAAAATAAATAAATCTTAAAAAAAAAAAAGAAAGAAAATGCTGTTTTACTAATGGAGAAAATTAACCTAAAATAAGGGGATGGAAAATTCCATTTGCAGTTACTAGTAAAATTTGTCCATCATTCATCTCCCTCATTGGATATTATTTCACTCCTAACCTTGCCCAATTTACTATAAATTCATTTATAGATCTCAGTTATTAGTAATTATTTAAGTTATCTAATGCTGCTTAACAATTGACCTCCAACTCAGTGGCTTATAACAATAATTATCTATTTTCTTTCAGGTTTTCTGTTGACTAGGAATTCAGGCGGGCTCCTCTAGAAAGTTCTCTCTTGGGCTCTTGGGCATTTTGTCGCTTTATCCCTTCCTTTTCCCCACCCTAATCTCAGAAGCTAGTAGTTTTTCTAAGTATCTTGCTTTATTGCTTGGTTTGCTATATCAATGTCCAATACTTGTCTTTGTTATTCTGACTCACTTTACTACACATAATTCCCTTAAACTACTTCCATTTTCTGTGAAAGGCAACATCTCATCTTTCCTTATAGCGGAACACTATTCCGTTGTGTGCACAGACCACATCTTTTTGAGCCACCCTCTATCAGTGGGCTCTTGGGTTGTTTGTCCTATCATAAATAATGCTGTAATAAACACTGCAGAACATGAATTTTTTTGAATTGATAATTTCATATTCTTTGGATAGATGCCCAAGAGTGAATTTGCTATGTCATACAATATTTCCATTATTAATTTTTTGTGGGTTTTTTTTTAAGATTTATTTATTTTATACAAGAACTGGGGTACAGGCCAGAGGTGTGAGAGGTTGAGAGGATTCACCAGAGACAGAGCAGGGAACAGAACAGGTAGACTGATGAAATACACTGCTGAGGGGAGCAGCAGGCGGCAGGAGAGGTCTGCTGCACCATGTGGGTTGCTCCCTGGCCGGCCAGGAATTGAACCTGTGTTGCAGAGGCTGCAGGCAGCTTCACAGTGCTGTGCTCAACCTGCTGCACCACTGGGGAGCCCTCCATTATTAGTTTTTTTACAGTAAATCCAGATCACTTTTCAAAATGGCTATATTAATACTCGGGTTTCTCTTCAGATCATCTAAATCTTTTGCCTTTTACCAAGATGGCTTACCAGTTTACAGTCCCACCAACAGTTTAATGTGGGGCCCCTTTCTCCACATCCTTTCTAGCACTTTTTGGTATTCTTTTTAATACATGCCATTCTCATGGGTGCAAGATGGTATCCCTGTGCAGTTTTCACCTGTGTCACCCTTGCTAAAAGCAATGGACATTTTTTCCCATGTGTCTATTGGCTTTCTGGATATCTTCTTTGGTGAGTTGTCTGTTTAGAACTTATGCTCATTTATTAATTGGGCTCTTTATTTTAGAGATAAATTGAATACTTTTTTTGTAAACCTTGGGTGTTAACCCTTTGTCAGTTGTGTAACATATGAATATTTTCTCCCATTCAGTGAGATCTATTTTTAATCTACTTATATTTTCTTTTGCTGTGTAAAAGCTCTTTAATTAGATGTTTATTTTTGCTTTTATTTCCTTTACCATAAGGGGTCAAATCTCCCAAAACATCTTTTGTCAATAATGTCATGAAATGTATCATCAATGTTTAGCTTTATATACTTTATTGTTGCAGGTCTTACATATGTTTTAATCCATTTCAAATTTATTTTTGTGCATGAAGTTCAGAGAGTGATGCAATGTCATTCGTCTGCATATGAAGTTTTCCCAGCACTATTTGTTAAAGAGACTGCTTTCCCCACTGTTTGTTCATGGCACCTTTATCGCAAATTAAGTATTAATATATACATGGACTTATTTCTGGGATTTTGGTCCTGTTTCATTGACTCACATGTCTATTTTTCTTCTAATACCATACTATATTAATTACATTAGCTTGTATGTTGCTTCTATTGATTTTTGTTTAAAGGTTCTTCTGTGGTTAGTGTATGATGGACTAGTTTTGTGATCTGTTGGATGGTTTGATCACAATTCGTTTTGATGGGCCATGTTTTAACTCTGCTTCTCTCTGTATTATATAATACAGAATAATATAATATTATATTTCTCTATATTTGTTATTTTGCTTCTTAATGATTGTGACTTTAGCTCGGCTTGGTGTTACAATGGTGTTAAAATTTTAGTTATTTCTGTTGAGTGCCTTTCCCTTCCTTCTGTCTTGAATGATAGTATTGTAAGATACAACTCAGTCCTACTACTATCAAGTGATAATTTAAAGACTAAAGTTCTAAATGCTATGACATTCTATCTCTGTGAGTATCTTGGAATCCTGATACCTGACATATCGTGATGACCTCAGGATAATGGATAATTATAACTCCAAAAGTTGCAGACAATTTGGTTTAATGAAAGACCTTCTTCTTTCGTATGGAAGTTTTTGTATGGAAGTAGAAATGGCATTGTATGTGATATGTACTGAATTCTACCGTAGTCCCATCCCTCAAATTCATGTGTTGAAGTCTTAATACCTATTGGTACTACATCTGAAGTTTGGATCCTTAGGAGTTAAGTAAGATTAAATGAATTTATAAAGATGTGACCCAAATCCAGTAAGACTCTGCCCCCAGAAGGAGAGCAGGAGCTTTTTCTCTCTCCTTTCCTCTCTTCTCCCTTCTCTCCCTTCCTCCCTTGTGAAGACACAATGAGAAGGCAGCCAGTCATTTGCAAGTCAGGAAGATAGCTCTCTCCAGAATCCAATCATGCTGGCACCCTGACCTTGAACTTCCAGCCTCTAGAACTGTGAGGAATTTATGTTAGGCCACTCAGTCAATGACATTTTGTTAGGTCAGGTTGAGCAGACTAAATACAGTGCATGACTTCAGAATCCTCCTTCAGATGATTCTGAAATAAATGGTAGCCTTCTACCAATTTTCTTTTCTCCGATTTTACATTTATTTGGCTCATTATTTGTATTTTTTTAAAAATACAATTATATGCATTTTTGAAAAGTAAAACAATGCCTTTTGTTCTTGTTCTTTGAGTCTCCTAAATTCTAATGTGTTTATTGAGAACACCACTACATGCCAAGTACTTTCTAAATACTTAGGAATTTAAAGGGGGAGAACAGGAAGAAATGAAGCCCCCTAGTCACCTGCAGGGCAGGCTTTACCCACAAATTGCTTACATGCTTATCAAAGACAGATACGAAAATAATTCATTACTGTCCTAGACGACTGGACCACTGGTATCAACCTTCCTGACTAGTCTGTGAGCTTAATTGCACCCCAGCACTTGGTATAACACCTGACACATACTGGACATTCAGGGCAGGTTTGCTACAGTTTAAAGGAGATAAATAGACAGAATCATGGCTTGGGGAGGCTTCCGAGAAGAAGGCACATGGGGTGGGACCTGAAATGTTTCAACTCAGTTGAAACTGGCTTTGGGTGCAAGATTTCATATAAATTAGACTTGCTTTTCTTTGTTGATACCTTTAGCTATTGGCAGTCTGGAAGAATGTGGAAACATTGTGTGTGTGTGTGTGTGCACGCATGTGTTTGTATGTATCATATATACATGAATTTTGCTTGCTACTAGAATATTTATAGTCAAAGGAATGTCTGCAGATCTTCCCCTTTGTTCTTGGATGATGTAGAAACTCTGTTGTAGTTATATCCTAGCCAGTGATGGACCATGTATATGCAGCCAACACTTATCTTTCACTAACTAAACTTACACTATCTCCCTAGTCTAGCCGCCCTCCCCTCCAGAATGAGCAAACTTTCTAGCCTGCCTTTTGGGAGATCTTTGCTATATGCCAGAGTGGGTATGTAGGTTACTGAGTGATTTTTTATTTATAGTAGCCTCATACTGCAGGTGTTATATGGTATATAGTCAATTCAGAGGGTAATGAAATCTGTCAGATAAATGTTAACTATAAAAAAAAATTTAAAAATCTTTTGAGAGTATTAACCTGCTAAATCAACTCTCCCATTCTCTTATCTCTATTCATTACAGGATTATGTCAACCTCGGCCCCCTGGCAGTGAAGCTCATGAGTGTGGAAGGCAAGAAAATGTCCATTCATTTTCAAGAGGCGGAAAGTCCACTCAAATTCTATGAAGATGTCAGGAGCCCAGAGAATCGTATTACATATAAAATAGTGAAGTCTTTTCTCTAAGACTGAAAGCTGTAAAGCACAACAACTTTAACTTGGAAACTGACAGTTGCCCATTTTATTTGTACTTTCATGTCTTTTTAAGCCAGTTGTTATTTCTAAAGGTCATAATTACATCTAAAATCAAGTTCCAAGTATTTAGCTATTTATTTAAAATGCATGGCATGAGTAACAAAAATGAAAGTACACTTTATTTTTCCATATTCAAGTATTCAGAAGCATAACAGTGAACTCCGATGGTCTCAGAGCTTCCTTACCACGTAAAATATTTCACTGATTCATCTATAACTCCAATATGGTCTAGTTTAATTAGAAATATTTCTAAGAAAATTTCAAAAGTTCGCAAGACTATAGATCTTTCCCTCTGAGGATGTTGAGTCATAGTCTATAATTCAAGTCTTCTCCTCTCTAACCTAACACAATTTATAATGAATACCAAATACTGTTGAAACAAATAAGTGTAATAGTGTTCATTGGTTGGAGGAAAAATATTCCATCAAAAAATTTCCCATCAGCTATATCAAGTTTAAACTACTAAGTCCTCAAATTACTAAAAATGGATTTACCATATGACCCAGCAATTCCACTCCTAGGAATCTACCAAAGGACACAAAAATGTTAATTCAAAAAGATACTTGACTTGCACTCTTATGTTCATTGCAGCACTGTTTACCATAGCTAAATATCCAGAAACAACCCAAATGCCCAAAAATAGATGACTGGATCAAGAAGATGTGGTGTATATACACAATGGAATAGTACTCAGCAATCAAAAAGATAAACTTAGGCCATTCACGACAACATGGACACAGCTGAAAGGGGCTATGTTCCGTGAAATGAGTCAGACGGGAAAAGAAAAACATTGGATGATTTCACTTATAGGAGGAACACAGGGGAACCATACAAGGGATCAGGGAAAAAAAAAAAAACTAGCAGGCAAACTATAAATTGGAAACCTTCATCAGGGAAGGGGGAGAGAAGGGAACCAAAACAGGAGGGAAGAGCATAAGAGTCTATGGTGATGGTTCAAAGGTGTCATTGTCGTGATAACTTTATGGGCACAAAACCTGAGAGGAGAAATCAAACATTGTACAAAAATGGACAATGATGTAAACATAAATAAATAGAAATAAACTACTGAGTCCATTACCACTTCTCTCCAAGGGCACCACAAGCTAAGGCACTGTGAGAGTACTGTCTTTGAAGTTATTATTCCATTTCAAAATTAACTCTACTTACATAGTTTTTTTTTAATAAGAAATGAATTTTTAAATATAGGAACACAGATAGACTGAAAATATTCCTTGCAAACTTAACCATAAGGAAGGTGATATATATACATAAATGATCAAAATAAATGTATTTTAAAGCTAGAAGTATTAAGAGAAATAAAGAGAAAATGAAGAGAAACATAACAATAAACAATCTATCTGGATGATATGCATAAATATGATCAATCCTTAAAAATAAATAAAAGGAAATTTATTACTATGTATTAAGAAATAATTTTCAATCATCTAAGCTTTAACTATAAGAATTGAGAAAAATAGCAAAAGTAAATTTAAAGAAAGTAGAAAAAGGAAATAAAGAGCAGAAATCAAATAAAAAGCTGATAAAGGAGAAAATCAACAAGCAAAACTGTCTCTTTGAAGGGTTAATCAAAATTGATAATACTTAGTAAAGCTAATCAAAAGGGGAAAAGTCCAATGAAAAAAGGAAATATCACTGTAGATTTTAGGCATTATTAAAAATTTTCCCAATAATTTTGAAAATTTAGATGAAATAGAACCATCTCTTTGAAAAATATCTGAAAAATAGGAGGAAATAAAATCCTGAATGGTCCTAGATATGTTAAAATAATCAAACATGTACTTTAAATTTGACCCCACACATAAATTTCAAGCCCAGAAGGCTTGCATCACTGATGTTTTCCAAACATTTCACAAAGGTGTAATACCAAACACACAAACTCAGAGAACAGAGAAAAAAGAAACACATCCAAATCATTCTATTTAATTTAATTCTAATAACTAAATCTTGTAAGAGACCTTAAAAGAAAATTACAGGCCGATATCTCTCATGAATATACATGCAAAAACTCTTTACAAAATATTAGTTTATTTAATGTAATAAAACAGTAAATATCACATAATATATAATATTTTATGAATAAAGAATGCAAGGTTGATTTTGCATTCAAAAATCAGGGTGGAAACATGAACAAAGATCAGTGGATTAGATCAATGCAAATAACCACCAGATATTGTACTCTAAGTTTGAATAATGTGTTCACTGAAGGAAACTGGATAAAGAATACATGTAATCTGCCTGTATTATTTGTGCAACTGCAGGTCAATCTCTCCAAAAAAAAAATCAATGATTTGATAAGACAAAAAGGGAACTCATATGAATGCATAGGAACATATCAATAAATGCAGCATTTGATAAAATTCAATCGTGTGATTAAAATTCATGATGATATGATAAAGTTCTTAGCTAACAATAGTAAACATTTTCCCATTGCGGTCAGGAACAAGACACGCATGCTCGCTATCACACTTCTATTCAACAATATTGAATAGAACTGGAGGCTTTAGGCAGTTCTATAAAGGCAAGAAAAACAAATTACAAGGATAAAGTTTAAAAAAGAAGAAGGAAACTATCATACTTAGAAATGTGAAGATTCTATATTAAGATAAAACAAAGGTAATCTATAAACGTCTTGAGCTTATAAGTGAATTTAATAAGGTCACAGAGCACAAGGTCAATAAAGATACATTATACTTATAACAACAAACTAGCAACAAACAATTGGGAAAAATTTATATTATACCATAATAGCATCAAAACTACAAAATATTAAGTTTAGATGGCAGTAGCTGAGAGAATGCTATGGCAAGACCTCAGTAATAGAGAAAAAGAAAACGGTAGAAGTAGATCATCCTAAGAAGCTGTTCGTAGGAGTCTCAAAATTAAAACCAATGGAAAAAAACTCTTGAAGCAGTATTTGGGAAATATGGCAACATAGTGGAAGTTCTTTTGATGAAGGGTGGGGAAACAAGTCCAGAGGAGTTGTTTTTATATTTTTTGAGAGTTCTGTAATAATAAAGTTTCTGCCAAAGATATGAATGGAAAGACTTTGACTGGAAAAACAATTAAGGCAAAGCAAACCGACAAACCATGTTTTGAAGGTGGTGGTAGAAAGAGATCAGCACCACCTCCTCCAAGAAACACAGGCACCCTAAGAAGGCTTAGATATGCAAGAGTAGAAGCAAGAGGGATCCCTCCCGTGGAGCACACTTGGATGATGGTGGATATTCTCTGAATCTCAACATGAGTTCTTCCAGGCACCTCCTTTCACTGAAAAGAGGTCCATCTTCAAGAAATGGAGGTCTCCTCCTAAAAGATCTGTTCCTTCTGCACCAGGACAAAACAATAGTGGAATGGGAGGATAAGGACCAGCGTCACATGGGAAAGAAAATTATGGAGGTCCTCCATGCAGAAAGCCAATCTCTTCCAGGAGCAAGGACTAAAAGTCACCCAGAGATGATTGTTATGTCACTAAAGAAATTATTCAAGCAGAGATTATCAAGTTTCTGAGACATCAAGATTATGCGCTACCACCTCAAGACTATATACACTGAGATTATGGCCATTTGGTTTTCATGATGACCATTCTTTTTGAAGATATAGTGATCATAACGGCTATAGTGAGGGCTGTGATAGAGTTTATTCTGAACATCCAAATGGAAGCTCTTGCAGAGATTCATATGTTGCACTGACAGCTCATGTGTTGTACTGACAGCACAAAGGCCCCCACTGATTTATGGGTGAAGCAGTCACTGACAGCACAAGGGCCCCCACCAGTTTATGGGTGAAGCAGTCACTGACGATTATGATGTGACACCACATGGATATTACCACATGGATATGGTTGAAGTCAGTAAAGTTACTCAAGTAGTGAAAATGACATGTTGAAGTTGTCATGAGCATGCTGGCAGACAAGAACAAGGGTGTCCACCTTCTATAGTTAGAGTGTACATTACTCCTCATGCTTTACATGGTGGTGCATGTTATAGGGCTTCTAGCAGTGGCTGGGGGGGGAAATGGATCTAAAAAGGGAGACCACTGTGGATTTAAAAAATAACACTCAGTTATTTTTTCTACAAAGAGAAAATTTAAGTGCTATTTTTCCCCATGTTGTCTGAATACTAATAGAATTCTTGGTTTGGGGATCCAGGGCATATATAAACTTTACATGAATTTTAGATAAAATGAAAAGGTAGAATTATTCAAACTAATTTCATAATTGTTAATGTTAATTGAAAAGGGGAAGTTATCTAATTTAAAATGGTTGTATTGTTAAAATTTCAGAGTAAAATTTCACATGGAAGTAAAAATATTGAGGAATGTATATAATGAAATATGAGTAAGATTTCTATTCTGAGACTTCAAAACATTTTTGAGAAAAGTAAAGATATAAATAGATGGAACAAATTGGAAGATTCAAAATTGTTAAGATGTCAGTTCTTTCCAAATCGACCTATAAACTCAATGCAATCCTAATAAAATTCCAACAATTTTTTTAACAAGATATTAACAAGTTATTCCAGATATTGTTATGGAAAGTTATAACCTACTCAAAAGGGCTATGATAGTTAAGACAATCCTGAAGAAAAATCAAAAATTGGAAAACTTAATACAACCAAAATTTCGAGACTTACTGTAACATTTAAGTAATTTAGACAATGTGGTATTATTGGCCCAGGGATAAAGAAAAATATCTAACGGAGAAGAAAAAGAATCCAGAAACAAATACATACATTGAGTCCCTTGATCCTGACAAAGATGTCACTATTATTCAGTGTGTGTGTGTGTGTGTGTGTGTGTGTGTGTAGGAAGAGGGCCTTTTTAATAATAAATCATTCTGAGGCAACTGGATATTTGCATAGAAAAAAGCAAACCTTAACTCCTAAATCTTACCAAAACACACATCAGTTCAAAGTGGATCAGAGACCTAAGTATTGAAGGTAAAACAATAAAGCTCCTGGTAGAAAATAGAGAATATCTTCATTTCCTTGAGGTAAGTGAAATTTTCTAGACATACCATAAAAAAATCATTAATCATAAAAAGACTGATAAATTGGATTTTATTAAAATCTTAACTAAAAGACATCATTAAGAGAGCCAAAAGGGGGCCTCCCCTGGTGGAGCAGGTTGTTGAGCGCAGTGCTGTGAAGCTGTCTGCAGCCTCTGCAGCACCGGTTCGATCCCCGCCGGCCACGAGCAACCCACATGGTGCAGCTGCTGTCTGGGCCGCTGCTCCCCTCAGCAGTGTATTTCAGTCAGTCTGCCTGTTCTGTTCCCCGCTCTGTCTCTGGTGAATCCTTTCACCCTCCTGCACCTCTGGCCTGTACCCTGGTTCTTGTATAAATAAATAAATCTTTAAAAA